TGTTCTCAATACACCAACATGATAACCTTACAGGGTTCATGTACTCAATACACCAATATGATAACCTTACAGGGTGCATGTACTCAATTCACCAACATGATAACCTTACAGGTTGCCTGTTCTCAATACACCAACATGATAACCTTACTGGGTGCATGTACTCAATACACCAACATCATAACCTAACAGGTTACATGAACTCAATACACCAACATGATAACCTTACAGGTTGCCTGTTCTGAATACACCAACATGATAAACTTACAGAATGCCTGTCTTCAATACACCAACGTGATATCCTTACATGGTGCATGTACTCAATACACCAACATGATAACCTTACAGAATGCCTGTACTCAATACACCAACATGATAACCTTACAGGGTGCCTGTTCTCAATACACCAACATGATAACCTTACAGGGTGCCATGTACTCAATACACCAACATGATAACCTTACAGGGTGCCTGTCTTCAATACACGAACATGATAACCTTGCAGGACGCCTGTCTCCAATACACCAACATGATAACCTTACAGGTTGCCTGTCCTCAATACACCAACATGATAACCTTACAGATTGCCTGTTCTGAATACACCAACATGATAACCTTACAGGTTGCCTGTCTTCAATATACCAACATGATAACCTTACAGGTTGCCTGTTCTGAATACACTAACATGATAACCTTACAGGGTGCCTGGTCTCAATACACCAACATGATAACCTTATAGCGTGCCTGTCTTCAATACACCAACATGATAACCTTACAGAATGCCTGTACTCAATACACTAACATGATAACCTTACAGTGTGCCTGTCCTCAATACACCAACATGATAACCTTACAGGGTTCATGTACTCAATACACCAACATGATAACCTTACAGGGTACATGTACTCAATTCACCAACATGATAACCTTACAGGTTGCCTGTTCTCAATACACCAACATGATAACCTTACAGGGTACATGTACTCAATACACCAACATGATAACCTTACAGGGTGCCTGTCCTCCATACACTTACATGATATCTTTACAGGTTGCCTGTTATGAATACACCAACACGATAACCTTACAGAATGCCTGTCTTCAATACACCAACATGATAACATTACAGGGTTCATGTACTCAATACACCAACATGATAACCTTAAAGGGTACATGTACTCAATTCACCAACATAATAACCTTACAGGTTGCCTGTCTTCAATACACCAACAAGATAACCTAACAGATTGCCTGTCCTGAATACACCAACATGGTAACCTTACAGGGTACATGAACTCAATACACCAACATGATAACCTTACAGGGTGCCTGTTTTCAATACACCAACTTGAGAACCTTACAGGGTACCTGTATTCAATACACCAACATGATAACCTTACAGGTTGCCTGTCTTCAATATACCAACATGATAACCTTACTGATTGCCTGTCCTCAATACACCAACATGATAACCTTACAGGGTGCCTGTTCTCAATACACCAACATGATAACCATACAGGGTACCTGTATTCAATACACCAACATGATAACCTTACAGGTTGCCTGTCTTTAATACAACAACATGATAACCTTACAGGGTGCCTGTTCTCAATACACCAACATGATAACCTTATAGCGTGCCTGTCTTCAATACACCAACATGATAACCTTACAGAATGCCTTTACTCAATACACCAACATGATAACCTTACAGCGTGACTGTTCTCAATACACCAACATGATAACCTTACAGGGTGCCTGTCCTCAATACACCAACATGATAACCTTACAGGGTGCCTGTCCTCAATACACCAACATGATAACCTTACAGGTTACCTGTCGTCTCAATACACCAACATGATAACCTTACAGCGTTCCTGTCTTCAATACACCAACATGATAACCTTACAGGGTACCTGTACTCAATACACCAACATGATAACTTTACAGGGTGCCTGTTCTCAATACACCAACATGATAACCCTGATTACAGGGTGCCTGTCTCAATACACCAACATGATAAACAGGGTGCCTGTTCAATACACCAACATGATAACCTTTACAGGTTGCCTGTTCTCAATACACCAACATGATAACCTTACACCTGTCTTCAATACACCAACATGATCAATACACCAACCTTTACAGGGTGCCTGTTCTCAAGTGATAACCTTACTTAATGCCTGTCCTCAATACACCAACATGATCTTACTTAATGCCTGTCCTAAAAACACTAACATGATAACCTTACAGTGCGCCTGTCTTCAATACACCAACATGATAACCTTACAGTGTGTGCCTGTCCTCAATACACTAACATGATAACCTTACAGCGTTACTGTCTTCAATACACCAACATGATAACCTTACAGGTTGCCTGTTCTGAATACACCAACATGATAACCTTACAGTGTGCCTGTCCTCAATACACTAACATGATAACCTTACAGTGTGCCTGTCTTCAATACACCAACATGATAACCTTACAGTGTGCCTGTCCTCAATACACTAACATGATAACCTTACAGCGTTACTGTCTTCAATACACCAACATGATAACCTTACAGGTTGCCTGTCCTCAATACACCAACATGATAACCTTACAGTGTGCCTGTCCTCAATACACTAACATGATAACCTTACAGAGTGCCTGTCTTCAATACACCAACATGATAACCTTACAGTGTGCCTGTCCTCAATACACTAACATGATAACCTTACAGCGTTACTGTCTTCAATACACCAACATGATAACCTTACTGGGTGCCTGTCCTCAATACACTAACATGATAACCTTACAGTGTGCCTGTCCTCAATACACCAACATGATAACCTTACAGGTTGCCTGTTCTGAATACACCAACATGATAACCTTACAGAAAGACTGTCCTCAATACACCAACATGATAACCTTACAGGGTACATGTATTCAATACACCAACATGATAACCTTACAGGTTGCCTGTTCTCAATACACCAACATGATAACCTCACAGATTGCCTGTCTTTAATACACCAACATGATACCCTTACAGGGTACATGTACTCAATACACCAACATGACAACCTTACAGAATGCCTGTCCTCAATACACCAACATGATAACCTTACAGGTTGCCTGTCCTCAATACACCAACATGATAACCTTACAGGGTGCCTGTCCTCAATACACCAACATGATAACCTTACAGGGTGCCTGTCCTCAATACACCAACATGATAACCTTACAGCGTGCCTGTCCTCAATACACCAACATGATAACCTTACAGCGTGCCTGTCCTCAATACACCAACATGATAACCTTACAGCGTGCCTGTCCTCAATACACCAACATGATAACCTTACAGCGTGCCTGTCTTCAATACACCAACATGATAACCTTACTTACAGGGTGCCTGTCCTCAATACACCAACATGATAACCTTACAGCGTGCCTGTCCTCAATACACCAACATGATAACCTTACAGCGTGCCTGTCCTCAATACACCAAGATGATAACCTTAGAGCGTTACTGTCTTCAATACACCAACATGATAACCTTACTTAATGCCTGTCTTCAATACACCAACATGATAACCTTACAGCGTGCCTGTCCTCAATACACCAACATGATAACCGTACAGGGTGCCTGTCCTCAACACACCAACATGATAACCGTACAGGGTGCCTGTCCTCAATACACCAACATGATAACCTTACAGGGTGCCTGTCCTCAATACACCAACATGATAACCTTACAGCGTGCCTGTCCTGAATACACCAATAGTTCAGGGCGAAAGTGTGCTTTATCACACTATACATGATGGTAGAGCTAACTGTATTTCTTTTCAAAGATGCCAGATTTAATACTTTCTAAGGATAGTTACAATTAATCTAAGGCAGAAAACAAACGACGGTGTCGGTGACCTAAATAAGAATCCTCGCACAGGGCTAACTGGCGCGCTGTTCTATTGACGTTACCAGAAAAATACAAATGATAACAATTTGATGACGGTTTACTTTCTGGTTAAATATCTTCTCTTAAATCATTTTAATTACATCTGTGAGTACCGTAAACCATATGGGGCAATACGAACGTCGCATTTCTGCTACCAACGTAAGTTTAGATCAGTACATCCGGATGAAGCTGACTAGTCAAACCACATTCCACGGAAGCATTGTGGGAATATAAACATTGCGAACGTTACCGTGTCGCTATAAAACTTGTGAGTCGAACTGAGATATTTTAACCGTGGGAAAACATAAACGTAATGTTAGCCGAGTGAAGCAACTGCAAACCAAGAAACGGGATGCATTGGAGTAGTTTACTGTAGGAGGCTGTACAAGGCGATGACAACTGACATGCATCGTGACGTCGGTTACATTGTGACGTTATGCAAAAGTGTTCGATTACGAGGGGGCAGACTAGAATGGCGCAGTGACGCCTATACATTGTGACGTAATGCAAAAAGTGCACATTATCGTCCGAAACATCTTAGCATGAACTGCATTACAGTGTTATATAACGGCGTGATCGGAGACCGTTCGGAGATGTTTACCACTTATATGAAACCCACGCGTATATAGAGGCTAGACAACCAAGTACCACTATTGCGGATTACAAGGTTTCTCCGGAACGCCTATACTCCCTGCAGTCTTAAATATGATGAATGGAAAATTAATATGACACCTTTATGAAAAGTGAATGCCAGACTAAAGAATAACCAGTCTCAATTATCCAACGAAACAAACATCCCATTTGTCTAAAAGCCAAAGAGGCGTTGAAAGTTATATGAATAGACAACTGAAATTCCCGAAGACAACTACATACATTAAACAATTAAATACGTTTTGAGTGATTACGCCACATTTGTCCTTCATTCAGAAACTAACCACGTTCAGAGGCACAAGCTGTATTAGACATCAGCATTCCGTAACTTCTTTGAGTGGCATTTTAGACGTTAGGAAGTATTTCCTTGGATGCCTGTTCTCTATACTCAACCTTTAACTAATGATCTTCCAGAATGCAAGCCCGGAACATACGGCAGGGGGTGTTCCTCCTGTGGCCACTGTAAAGAGGGAACAACGTGTAATCACGTGTCCGGAAAGTGTCCGAGCGGCTGCCAAACAGGTTGGCGGGGAGACACGTGTCAGCAGAAAGGTATATAATCTTTAAACGACAGATAAGTAATTCTCCTCTCAATTGAAAACTCGCCACTATATTTTAAATAGTAAGGCAACAGGCAAACTATGTCCCACGTAACACTTTAGTATATCATCAACGCAAAGCAGTTGAATCTTGAATTAAAGACAAACGTGGACTTAATGATATAATGACGTATTGCGATTGATGTGTTTGTTAAATATTCTTCTCCAAGTGGATCGTGAATATACACATCATGGTCAAAGCGAAAATAGCGTTAACTAGACTTGAACAAAATTTAACAACAAGACACTTGAAAAACATTTCTGTTAAAAATCACCACTAATTTGAACATTTGAGTAGATTTGAATATATACATATATTGAAGTACATTTCAGTGTTATAAAGCCTTGATACAGGACGGAGATGTTTACCACTTATGTGATTAGAGGGTTTCTCCAGAACGCCTACGACCCGTGAAGATCCGGGGTAGAATAGGTCTTCAGCAACCCATGCTTGCCACACAAGACGACTATGCTTGTCGTAAGAGGCGACTAACGGGATCGAGTGGTCAGGCTCGCTGACTTGGTTGACACATGTCATCGGTTCCCAATTACGCAGATCGATGTTCATGCTGTTGATCACTGGATTGCCTGGTCCAGACTCGATTATTTACAGATCGACGTCATATAGCTGGAATATTGCTGAGTGCGGCGTAAAACTCAACTCACTCACACACTCACCAGAACGCCTACACTCACTGCAGTCTTAAATATGATGAATGGAAAAATAATATGACACCTTTATGAAACGTGAATCCCAGACTAGAGAATAACCAGTATCAATTATCCAACGAAACATACATCCCATTTGTCTAAAAGCCAAAAAGGCATTGAAAGTTATATAAATGGATAATTGAAATTCGCGAAGACATCGCCAAAAATCAAACAATAGCGTAGGCTACGGCGAGTGATTACACCACAGGTGGCCTTCATTCCGAAACTAACTACGTTCACAGGTGCAAACTGCATAAGAAATGAGCATACCAAAACGTTTTTGAGTGGCATTTTAGAAATTGGGGAGTACAATATTTACAAACTTTATGACGTTTAGATACAGACTCCGACGTTTAGGTACAGACTCTTGCACCGTTGTCCATAAAGTTTGTCAATAGAGCACTCCGTACCTGAGTACTCAGTCTTGTTCTTGACTTCGTTTCCTTGAAAGTGTATAACGGATGCTTCTGCTCCAGAATGCCCATCTGGAATGTATGGATCACAATGTTCACTTCCGTGTGGGCGTTGTAAGAACGGACCGATGTGTAACTCAACTGACGGTGCTTGTCCGCAAGGGTGTAGCGCCGGGTGGAAAGGGGCCACGTGCAAAACGAGATGCAGCCGGCTGTACTACGGGGAGAACTGTGGAAGAATGTGTGGCTACTGTCGTGGAGATACGTGTAGCCCTCTCACTGGAGTATGTCCAATTGGGTGCCAGACCTACTGGAAGGGGCCTCTTTGCCAGGACCTAAATGGTTAGTTTATAAAATATCTTTTCATTTATCATATATTTGTCAGCATGTCCCGACAGCATCACGTAAATACTCAAACCAAGACCAGACACATCCCTTTCCACATTATACCCGTGAACATCTGGCTTAGAATTGGTCTTCAGCATTGTAACCATCCGAGCCACATTGTAATCACATTTTAAAATACTAGCTACCAATTCTCACATAAATTACCCAATTTTGTGCATGAACTATAACTGTTCAGTTGACGAGTATTGCAAATGAACTATCGAATACTACACATTGTGCGTGTTATTGGACATACATACATTTCAATCAATCTGTATTTCGGTACTTAAAAAGACCACAGGCCTGTAGTACATTTAGAGTTTACATGAGTAGATAGAAGTCATTTATAAATTCTTTTCTGCAACAATACTTTTTCTTAATACATACATTTATAACTACCTTTGCCTTTGAAAGAGAAACCTAAAATTATACTCGCAATTATATCACATGTGAAGTATTGCCTTTAAAATAATTTAAGAATTAACAGAAACAGTTTTGCGTCACTTTTAGGAACCACACCTCCCGTAAACAGGCCCTCGTGTCTTTGCGAGGATTAAAGTTAAATGTTGTTTTTTTACATGACTCGAAATTCTTCACAGTACCATACATCATAATGTATGATGTATTGTTTGAAATTTATTAATCTGAAATCCTCTGGCTTGTGGTCCTGTATATTTTGTTTTATTAGTATTATGTGTTTCTCATAATTTATATTTGTAGTTTTAACCAGCCCAGCATCCCTGGCAAGAGGAAGGTTCGTTGGTACGTATTGGACCTTTTACAATGATATTGATAAATTGACAGGTGTGTGGTCTATGCATGGATGGTTGACCGTGTTTGGCAGCTTGACTCTGAGAGTTTCTAGGACTTTGGTCCTGCCTCACAACGAAATACATGTCATACATGTGGTCACGCCTTAGGCAAGTGAGTTTGTTCAAAATTGATTCTGTTCACCCAGACGAAAATGGGTACCCAGTGGGATAAGTTGTGTGACTATTACCTTCAAGCGTGAGACCGCCTCCGTGGTGTAGTGATTAGAGCGTCCGCCCGGAGAGCGGAAGGTCGCGGGTTCGATCCCCGACAGCGTCATACCAAAAGACCTTACAATATGGTACATGTTGGTCCCTGCCTGGCGCTCGGCATTAATGGATACAACAAGGACTGGTCTGCTCGGAGTCAGTATAATGTGTCTGAGTGGGGTATTCATGCTTCACTGCGGCATGGTATCTCAGTGGGCTAGTACTATAAAACCAGCTTAAGTCTGGACTAGTACAAGCAGCCGTACACTCTGCACGTCGTCATATGAGCGGACGACGTAAAACCCAATTTAACCTCACCTTCTGGCGCCTACAGCTTGGATTATCCAGGTTAATAATTTGCTTTGCTTTGATGGTTAGCGCAATGTGCATTCACCTAGTAAATGAAGTTTAGCGCAAAATAAGTGAACATATTATTATTATTTATTACACCTACATCCACACTTATGACGTACCAAATATCTGTGTTCGTCGTCCTACGGTACACTCTGAGCTGGACGATACTAACATGTACATTTTACCCTCGTGGTTGACTTGGTTGACACATGTCATCGTATCCCAGTTGCTTAGATCGATTATTTACAGCCAAACAAATAAAAACTAGAAGAATCTACACAGGTTTGTCAGTCATGGTATGGTTCCTGACACCTCTGAAATCAGGCCAATTTGTCAGCTGATCTGACCGCTGAAGGCTAATGGGGCCATGATGTCAACTGAGAATTGTCTGATGTTCTGGTGATGTCTCCCTCGGTCGGATTTGGATGGGCTTACGTCAGAAATGGGCTTTACACATTGTACCCATATAGGGAATCGAACCCGGGCCTTCGGTGTGAAGAGCGAATGCTTTCAGCACTAGGCTACCCCACCGTCCCAATACAATGACGATATAGCATGTGAGCGTGTGAACTCAGAAAGCTGAGTGAGACTTCCAAAGACACCAATGTCTCATGAGACCATTCTCACTTTCTGGAACCGTTTACAAAACAGTCAATCAAAAACGGAACCCTTATAAAGAGTGGGGTGATTCGTCAAGCGTTAAAAATGTTGTACATTGTCAATACGTGACCACGTGATTTATTAAAACACGTGGATACACAATGCCCTGTAATCTCTCTCTCTCTCTCTCTCTCTCTCTCTCTCTCAATAAAGTATTGACTCTCGATTTACACTTTTTTCCAGATGCTCTCATCTTCGCTGCTGCTGCTTCAAGGATCTTTAAACTGTTCATTTGACATTCGTGTTTGATGTGATAGCTCTTCCGATACCATATTGTCTTTCCCGTATAAACACAGTTCAAAAACAAATCCTACTTATACATGTAAGGTGATTAGTTGTGATATGTCGTAAAACATTTACAGTTCCTGGTTGTTTATCAATTTACAGATTAGGGACATATGACATATGCTCTGAAAGCAAGTCATACATGGGGTAGTCTCTGTGTAATTGATGTTATCTGGAGGTGAATGTGAAAGTTGGAAACAGCAGTGTCGGATAAACCGGAACATCCGATTCATTCAACACAAAGTACTAATTTGCTTCTATGAGAGTCAACTGTATAATCTTGGATATGTTAGATTGTCAAATCAGTCATTTCGTGAAATGACTAAAGATTTCAGTCGTGAAATGAATAAGATGTCGCCAGTCTTTAGTCTTGGTATCACTCATCCACACTACCAGCATGTCTTTTATGTCGCCATTTGCCCTGTCATCTGATCCTTGACTTTGGGGATGGCGTGGCTTACCATGTACTCGTGCTAGTTCTGGCCAGACGTGTTGAATTTCTTTAATAACATGAGACGTGAACTCTGATCCATTATCAGATTGGAGGCTCAAGAAAATGTCAACGTTGTCCGTGGTCTCAATAGGCAAAACTTAGTTAAGTGATCCTGATATACCATAATCCAGAGAAATGGCTGACCCACTTAGTAATTTCACGAAATGGCTGACCCTCTTAGTCATTTCACGAAATGGCTGACCCTCTTAGTAATTTCACGAAATGGCTGACCCTCTTAGTAATTTCACGAAATAACTGATTTCTCATTCTGACTGTAACAGACATACTCAGCAGGCATGCAGTTATTTTCGGTGTAATTTGTTGAATAGTTTGTCCATACTACTTCAGTGTGAACTGGATTCTAAATCCATTGGTCTGGTATTTGTATCGTGTTTCGATGTGTATATAACGAATGTTATTATAGTAAATGGTGACGTCTTAATGGTACTAGTTATGCTACTTTTACATTGTGACGAATGCTGATGTATTTGATATGGTAAGACACAAGGGTGAGATTCTGTTCTGTTATCAAACATCATTCAGTATGTGAACACTAGTATGAAGTGACTTTGCGAAAAAGTGTAAAACGTAAGGCTACCAGCTTCAGTAGAAGCGAGATTTGTGATGTCAATTTACTGTGGTGTCATGGTAACGAAGACGCCACAATGGTCTGCTGATCTTTATGATGCAATCTGATTGTTGTTTATTGTCATCTCACTAAACCGGCACCTACTTTTGGTCTAACTTTAGATAATGTTTTTATGAAATAGTTATAGCATATTTGTGTCATATTTTTATTATTGCAATTTTAAAGATGTTATTTTTATTCATTTATAAAATTGTTGAGGTTATATTTTATTTGTTTGGGAAATTATTATATTTTCTTTATTCTTTATAGTAGACTCTAAAGGAGAAGTATTAACTAAAAACACAAAACACAATTTCAGAATAAGTAAATATCAAGATATGCAATCAAGTTTCTCATATCGAAAGTAAGAAGCACAAAATAAGAGTGGAAATGTAATGATGTTATGATGCATTTGTTTACCGACATAAACAGGTCAGTGTTTATCCCCTTAAGTTATGACGTAATTGGTGCAAATTTGAATCGGTCCCCTGGCTAGTCCTAAGGCAAAAATATCCACATTAATGTATGGACATAGTATGTAAAAGGTATGCAAAATCTGCAACATTATAGATTGATCGTACTTACTTTCATTCATAAAAGTTCATCAAATATTTACCACAGTGTTGACGAATGACATCGCTACCGGTGACTGGGTTCTCAAAATTCACGTTATGGGACGTTTACTGAAGGGTAGTATTCACATAAATGTGACAAGTAATCAGAAACATTCTGACAAACTGCGCATTGTCATTCGCTTTTATTGTTTTCATTGTAATTGTAACAAAGAGTCGGCAAAGCTGATAACTACCGTTATGGTTGTTCAGAAATTATGACATATCCCAAGAGGTTAACACAGAAGGCTGCGCAGAGGGACACAAGAATCACACTCTTGTACCTACACCACGTGATACGTGTGTAATAGGGTCTAATGACGTCATTCTGTTATCAATTGGCACCAGTGACGTCATATTGCAAGGGACTTAAGCCATGGTGTATTTATTATGGAAGTAAGGACCCCCCGTAAATTTGAAAAAATTGAATATAATAACCAAAATAAAATAAAATACTTATTAACTTACTTCCTTACTTACTTACTCATTACTTACTTATGATATCTGTATTGCTTTGGCTATGAAACTACTAAGCAAATACCTATTGTGCAGAAAAACTGCAAGTAAAATAATGTTTTTAGTGAACTTCCCCTTTAGGAGGTTCTATTTATTTGTTCATCTAAAAATCTTTTAGTTGTTCTAGTTATTATCAGGGTGTTTTGTCAGTCGACTCGCTGTGTAATATGTGCTTCTATGTTTCTGTTTTATACGGCACTCAGCGATAATCCAGTTATATCAACGCTGTCTGTAACAGCCGGTTTGGAAAGAGAACAGTTGCATGTAATAACACTGAACACTGTAAATACACTTTCGTTTTAGAAAAGTATATATTTGGTGAAAACTAAAGACAAATCTAAATCTTTTATGCTTCCTATCACTGAACCCGACCCCCGATCTTCGCTCCGTACTCCCCCATCCAGAAATCGCCAGTCCCTGACGGACTTTACATAATATTGACAAAGGGCTTCATAGGCTTTGAATCTCGTACAAATTATTTTGTGTGTGGCTTTTTTTATCTTTTGTTTTGATCTGTAGATTTGTTTGGAGCTGTCCATTTTACTCATTTACTCAAGATTGCGAACTTCCGATATTTGTTATTCCTGTTCAGAATGTAGATTTGCTGATTTTTATTGTTTCGTTTATATTTGATATTAATTTATAAAATTAGAAATAAACTCTTGTGAATATTGTAAGGATTTGACCATGAATCAGTGTTCATTTTAAACGTTTTACGTGGATTAGTCACAGCTATGTTTTCGTTCGTTAATTCGTTCGATCGTTCACGACGGTGGCCTGTGAATATACAGGGCGGGTCAGACAAACCCGTGACTAATAAGAGCAATTATCTTGCCTCACACATAAATGTCGTTTTCCGATTGGCTGAGCGCTCTTCTATTATTTCCAATGTACCCCGCTTTCGAGCGAGTAACATTTGCTATGTACCCGCTGGGAATGCCGAACTCATTTGGTACTTCGTAGTAGTAATTATTTTCCTCGAGGTATGATATACGGAAATTACCGATGTTTACCGAATGCAAATCGATAGAAGGGAGATAACTCTATATTTGTTTTTCTTGTCTTGTACTCCATACTATGATCGGATACCCGTGCTTCAAACAGTTCATAATTACCATTGAGGTGTTCGGTAAGATAAATACGTTGTTCACTGGTCCCTCGGGGTACATCATCCCATGCCCCATCCGAGACCAGTGAACAACAATGGAGAAGTTGTCTATCCATAGAACATCGGTCCTGTTCACCCTACCAGCTTCTAAATGCCACTCAAAGAAGAAACTATACTTCTCAGCTGAATTATTTAATATATGTTTGAATATCCTAAGTATATTCTCACCAATTATCGAAGTGCACGATGTCTCAGTCAGCATTCAAAGAATACTTGTACATGGTTTGTTGTTTAAAGTATACAATTTGAATATGTGATGCCCGTTTCTGGTGGCCCTCGAAATTGCAGGAAATATTGATGAGGAGTAGAAGCCAATTAATTGACTGTGCAATGCTATATCATTGGACACTGAGTACAGGCACACTGTTGAGTGAGGTGTCCCCGCCTGAAATCTTCTACCATGTGTTTCCACCATTACCCTCTGTATATTGATTCATGCATTTCTATTTTTTAAAATCTTAATTTTCTCCTGTCAGTGACTGATTAAAAACCGTTATGTTATGTAAGCAGCCAGCAAATTCTTTTGTATCGAAAACTCTATACTGTTTCGGTGTCGTAATCTGACAATTTAAGCGCATGTCACTGTCAGACATGTATTATGAGCGATGGTATTGGACTTTAAGTGTACTGTACGTATGTACATTTTCACAAGACCCGTAAAGACCCGGTTTAGAATTGATCTTCAGTAACCCATGCTTGTCGTAAGAGGCGACTAACGGGATCGGGTGGTCAGGCTCTCTTACTTGGTTGACACATGTCATCGTATCCCAATTGCGTAAATTGATGCTCATGATGTTGATCAGTGGATTGTCAACCTTCTTTCGACCGATGGAATGGAAGACATCAGGAGCAGTCAAGATCGTTGAATAATGATCATTCTTAACTTTGTGTTACAGGGGCATTCGGGTGATCCCTGAAAACTTGAACTACACGCACATGGGAATACTTTCTTCGAGGTATTTGGCTTATGTCATCGGTGTTCCCAATTGCGTAGATCGATGCTCATGCTGTTGATCACTGAATTGTCTGATCCAGACTCGATTACTTACACACCGCCTCCATATAGCTGGAAAATTGCTGAGTGCGGCGTTAAACAACAAATCAACCAACCATCTTCACAGACAAACAATCTAACAGCCAGTGGCTCTTCCAGTTAGCTTTCTAACTGTTAAATGGTAAATTTGATATGACTGTCAATGACAATTTAAAAACTGTTAATTTTCCAGTTTAGTTTTAGCACAAGACAGTTAGACAGCAGTTGGATTGGAAAGTAACTGGTAAATCGATGTCTGTTATCCACACACATTATCCTCCACTGGGGAGTGTAGAACCATTTACTCAAGTGTTTAAATACCATTGGGTACTGACAGCATGGGTCTATTTGGATGACAAGACAGCTTAGCTTAAGTTGTATTCTCCTCAGGGTGTTGAAATTCGAGTGTACATTTACCCACTGGCGCGGGAAATAAGTCTACCTTTGCAAAGCGACTATCAAAGTAGGTAGTTTATAGAAACATCGCATTTAACTACACTCATGTGCTACATACTGCAGAACACAGCTTCCTTCATAGTTACTCTTGAACCAAAACACTGCCACATCACGCCCATCCTGATGTCTCTTCACTGGTTGCCTATTGAAGCTCGCATTGACTATAAGATCCTTACACTTGCTTATCAGTGCTTATTCATGGTATTGCACCTCTGTATGTTCAAGAACACCTCTCTCCTTACATGCCAACAGGAACTCATTCATCCTCGTCTAATCTGCTCTGTGTACCAAAGTGGAACCTCAATTCATTTGGATACAAGTCTTACCAGAACATGGCATTGGTCAAATGGAATTCCCTCCCTGATGAATTTAAGCTGTCTCCAACCCTTGAAAACTTTAAGTTTCATCTCAAAAGCTTTCTCAACAAAACGTTTTATATCAGTTGACTTAATTCATTCTTTTTCTTTGTTAGCGCTATGAGCATACCTTGTGCAAGTTTTTATGTTATGTAAATGGGTAAATTATTATTATTCCACATACTACATACTGATACTGTTTCACACTGTTATGATTTAGAAATTGCCGTGACAAAAGGTTTGCGAGACCCCTTTAAACCAGCAAAATAAAACACAGACAATAAAAAATATGCAATAATATATTGAATAAACAATGAGAAAGGTTGCAATGAATGACAATACAGATTTCTAATACAATACTATTGAGTCACATCTAAAATATTGGGTCACAAATCTACAATATTAATTAAATCTATAATTAACGGAGTCTAGATTCTTGTTGATGTACTGAGTGAAGATTGTTGACGTCAGTTGAATATTCAGTGTAGTAGTAGTAGTATGTGTATGTAGACGACGGGTCGTAACTTGACCAGGCGATGTTAACAGACAGATGAGCGTATATCCGAAGCAGTAGTCCCAAAGTCGTCAAACATATCAGCAACCAATCCCTACCTATTACACAGATCTCGAATTCTCTAGCAGCAGCCACGCCTCACTGCGACCATTGATTGAGATCACACTACCAGCTTCTCAGCGCTGCGACAATCACTCAAAACACATCGTACCGAAACCGGAGGTAAGAGGAGGTAACTCTCACCTACTATCAACAGGTGAAATTACACAGCCTAAGTCCCAGATGTGAGTTCAAATCCACACTCAGCGCTTGACCCATAATAACTAAAAGTCAATCAATGTGGCATCTAACTAACAAAAACAACACACATAAATGGAAGACGAGCTCTATATTTCGTATGACCTGAAAAATGAAAATAATTCACCCCTGCAAAGGTTGTATAAAGCAATCCGTGGCTGGTAACTTTTGTGTGAAACTATATTGGTTAAATGAAGACCAAGGGCCGAAATCAGCTGGTAAACACTCAACTTTACCGGGTTGGCCGAAAAAGAAGATAAGACCTGTTAGGATCTGGTGATCCGGCTGTGCGACCTAGGTGCTTGTAGTTCGTGCTACCCTGGTGGCTCTGATAGTAGCACATGATTACTATCACTGGCTTTCCAGCACCACGCTGGTGTGACTAATATGCTGCATTCAACAATTTCTATGAACGATATAAAACCTTCTGCAGTGTTTCATGATACTATATGGACCCAATGGCCGTTCGAAATGTCCATTATTCCATTGACCTTTATTCCATTTTTGTGGAAGTCGCGGTGGCTGAGCGGGGTAGGCGGCTGACTTTGTGTGCTGGCGATTAGGTGCCTGACACTGAGGGTGTGGGTTCGAATCCCTGATGGGGCTCTACTAAAAAAAGTACTAGAATTTGTACTTTACTAAGAAAGTGTAATCCCAAATATACCATATGTTACATTAAAAACATTTGGAGAAACCTCGATCAAGGCAATGTCCATCCCCAATTCAGTAGCACACAGTTTGGACAGATGTTCTGTATAGGGCTTCTTGTGGCATGCATTCACAGTTTGTTCTTAAATTGGGTTCTAAGCCGGTGAATATTATATTTTCAGAAATTCAGATTCTATGTATGTTGAAGCACATTGCAAAGAGTCCCCGTGGTTCTTCTTGCTAAAAGTAGGTCCCCAGCAACCTCTGCTGGTCCGGCAATGGATTGGGTTTGGTTGATTATATCAGATTCGGTACAACACATATGACATTGCCTGCTCCACATGTATCTAAGTAAGGCGTTAAGAAACAGCAGCAGCACCACCACCACCAACAAACAACAACAAGGAAAGAGGACAATGATCGAATATTATTGGCATGTATTTTTCTGTAAATCGACTAAAATGGGAATATAACATTCTGTTTTGAATAATAATTACACTAACAACTTGAGCAATTAGAAATGTTTAATGGAAATATATAATAATTATGATTAGTAAAGTATTACATAACTGACATCTCGAATGTGCCTATGCATTGCAACCAGTGGGGTTTTGGGGTTTGTTTTTTTTGCTTTAGTGGAAAGTACCCATTCTTTCCCCTTGATTTGAAAATATTTCCACACTCAAAACCTCGTTCTTGTTGCTCAATACTGAATAACTCTGGCCCCAGCTGATCCCCACAATAACCCAGAGTTACTCATATACCTCCTCAAAAATCAAGAGCCACAGCGATATAGGTGGGTCACATTCCCCGTTATAACGGGGAGGCATGTGGACATCTTGCTATATGTCTTTGCTATGCTGATCTTGGACAAGTGACAAGCGTACGACCCATTTTTCTTTTGTGGCTTTAATGTTATCAGTCATGTGACTTGAAATGCCGTGAATATAAAACAGCCGAATTTATATCTGATAAAAGGCAACAGAAATAGGAAGGCGGCAGTTGCCTGTGAAATGACCGCAGAAGGAAATGTCAAGTCAGTCCAAGCAGTCATGATTTGTACCCTGTTTTTACCATACTGTCAGAACATTCTAAATTTACAGGCGTTTGAAAATCCTAGGAAACTTTATATCTGTTTTTATAGCTGACTTCTTCGTGCAGGTGTGCCCAAAAGATAAACTTGCTTTGATGTTTGTCCTTCTTCATGTACCTTTTCACTCTGAATATTTAAATCTGCAAAAGGAATTTCAGCTGTTTAGGCCTCATAGACTGGGACCGATGGGGTAACCTTATGGTTAAAGCGTTCGCTCGTCACGCCGAAAAACCGGGTTCCATTCCCCAGATGGGTACAATGTGTGAAGCTCATGTTTGGTGTCCCCAGCCGTGATATTGCTGGAGCATTGCTAAAAGCTGCGTAAAACCCAACTCACTTATAGACTGAAGGGATCGAAGTTGTCCTAATTTCCTATTTCGGCGTATTCAGATTTGCCTCCCTTGGGCACACCAGAAACCTATGATCCTGGGTTCGAATCCCGGTTTGCTCCCTGTTATTGTTCTCGGTTTGTTAGCAGATTCAGCAAAGTTGTAAACGACCAAGACCTGCATCATATAAGGCTTCCTTAACTCATTAATCAGGGCGGTGGGGTAGCCTAGTGGTTAAAGCGTTAGCTCGTCAATAGACAATGGACACCGTTAAAAGTCCTCTGGGTACGACGTTATGCAAGTAACTACACCACCGAGCCTGAAAACCGGATCGATTTAGTAGCCTCATAGGACAGACGTAGGCCCCTGCGTGCTGGGTCCCGATGCACAAAGAGTTCGAAGCGCTACGACATGCATAAGCCTATGGTAAACTGTAAAGTTACGACATGTGGATCGGGACCCAGAGGCGACTAGCGGGACCGGGTGGTCAGGCTCGCTGACTTGGGTGACACATGTCATCGTACCCCAATTGCGTGTACCGATGCTCATGCTGTTGATCACTGGATTGTCTGGTCCAGACTCGATTATTTTCAGACCGCCGCCATATAGTTGGAATATTGCTGAGTGCGGCTTAAACCTAAACTCACTCACTGACTCACTCATAGACCAAAAACTCCTTGTTTTGAATACACATTTAGAAAGTTGTCAAATGTAACATAAATTATATTTGGAATTATTATAGGATATTTATATAGCGCACATATCCAGGCAACTAGTGCATGCTCAAGGCGCTGAATTACACTTTGGGTTAGACGGCTGACCAAAAGTGGGTGATTAGGTGCCTAACTGTGTGGCCTCAAATCCCGGATGAGACCCAACGAGAGTACTACAATCTGTACTTTACTGAGAAAGTGTAGACACACTGTTCGACTAATGTGAGGTGTTGCAGACAGACGAATAGCATGTGTTGGTGTACTTCAATATTCACACAACAGATTCAAATATTCTTTCTGTGTGAAGCATCATGACGCTGAGGACGGGGGTAAGACACGCATTCACAGACAGAAGCAATGCCAGTACTTGCATATTTGAATTAAATGCTTTAAATAAATTAAAGGTATTGAAGAAAACATGGATATTCAAATTAAAAAGGATGTCTTCCTCAGATCTGAATGACAATGCGTTGACATGCAGCCCTGCTTAAGAGAATCATTAAGTCCCTTTCTCTCATTCATCTTTTTTACACTTTTTAGCGCATTTTCGCATTTCTTGTGCTATATTAATAAAGGTTGACTGGCACCACTGAATTATCCTTGACTGTGTTTCTTAATATTTTCGACTTCAACCCTCATAAACCTATTACAAGTAAAGCACATATGTAAAGCACATCACAAATACCCAGAACATATTATAGTACATATATTTATTTTAATGGGTCGATGTTTACTTGTGGCCATAACGGAACATGTTTGAGACTATGCGAGTACCCAGATAGCATTCAGACGTTGGACCAACGTTGGCAATGGTTTGGGGCCAACGTCCAAATGCTATCTTGACTCTGTATACATCTAAATTGGGGTTGCATAAAACACCGATTTACATCTCAATTTCTATCAGACAGCACTATTTCACTAGCATATTAGCATTGAATCTACAAAGGACAGTTGAGGTAGGTGAATTGTAAGGAAAATATTTTTTAAATAATATTTCAGAAGAAAGGTTATCAACACATCGAACAAAGTATTTACCTGTATAAAGTGGAGTACAGGATGTGTTCTCTAGGCTAAGTATTAGTAACTACCTTTGCAGCCCTATTCTACAAACTTTGCAGTCTGTAAAGTTTATCCTAAGAAATGTCATTGCCAGACAAGTGCTGCAAAGGTAACTGGTATGGTCTTCTCGCCCTTTTTTCCAAGTAACTCTGGTGTAAGGCAAGGAGAGAATCTCTCCCCTCTGTTGTTCGCTTTCTTCATAAATGATCTTGAATCCTACTAAGTAAACAGTGGGTGTCAGGGTATAAAACTACAGTACTTTTCAGATTTTTATGTAACCCTTTGGCTTCAACTTGTGATATTATTGTACGCCGATGATACAGTCCTGTTCAGTGATGATCCTCACGATCTTCAGAAATCTCTCGATGCGTTTTACTGTTACTGTAATGAATGGTCAATTTATCCAAAATTAAAGTTGTTTTTGGCAGTGGTCCAGCGAAGTCATCTAAATTGAAACTTTTCTATGGTGATAAGCCTCTTGAGGTAGGAGACTCTTATTGTTACCTTGGTACTTCCCTTCATCGTAATAGAAGACTTATTCATGCTATTAAAGCACTCGTAAATGCGGGTACAAAGGCAATGTTTTCTCTTCTGAAAAAAAATCACGTAACATAAACTTACCACTTGACTGCATTCTAACAGCTTTCGATGTAATGATAGAACCAATCTTATTATATGGATGTGAAGTTTGGGGGTTCGAAAACATCAATTTAATTGAAGGAATACATATAAAATTTATGAAACTTGCTGCAGGTCTTCGAAAGTCAACTCCAGATTATATGCTATTATGGAGAATTTGGTCGCTACCCGATATATGTTTAATTAAACAAAAGACATATGTTTTTGGCATAAAATGGTAACAAACACCCGCCAAGCCAAACTATCATATAATATCTATTCTATCATGTTGCAAGTTCATTCTGAAATTAATGTATTTCCCTGGATTGAATTTGTAAGAAAGACACTAAATCACTGTGGTTTAACTGAAATATTTTATAATCCATTTCTCTGTACAACTAAGTTTCTCTCTTTTAAGATTGAACAGATCCTCAAAGACCAATTTCTACAGAAATGGCACACCTCCACGATACAGAGCTCCAAATTCTCTTTTTATGGTATCTTAAAAACCAATATAGAATTTGAGAGATATCTCTTTCTGCCAAAACACATCTATTTCCCGATTTTAAGAATCAGAACAAGTAATCACCACCTCCCTATAGAAGGTGGCCGTTGGGCAAATGTTCCTAGTGAATATCGTCTTTGTAATTTATGTAACTCTCATGCAGTGGGAGATGAACTCCATTATCTGTTCAAATGCGAAGCTTTACTACTGTATAGGCAAACATATTTACCTCCTTACATGAATTCAATTACCTTATAGAAAATCGTCAAACTGTTGTCGTCTAAACAAACTAATCTTAAAAATCTTGTAATGTATATTAATGTAACATTTAAGTCCACAAAGATACATTTTTAACTTTAACTGGTTGTTTTTCTGTGGATTTTATCTGCTGTCTTGACATGTTAATTTATATGAATGTAGTAAATTTGTATTCTCACGGTGTTTCGAGAAATAAATTGAATTGAACTGAATTGTTAGGGACTACTCCAGGTTGATTGGTTGGATGGTTGGTTGGTTGGTTGGTTGGATGGTTAGTCAGTTGTTCAACGCCGCCCTCAGGATTATTCCAGCTATATGGCGGAGTTCTGTCACTAATCGAGTCTGGTCCAGACATTACAGTGATCAGCATCATGAGCATCAATTTGGATACGATGACATATCAACCAAGTCAGCGAGCCTGACCATCCGATCCCGTTAGTCACCTCTTACGACAAGCAACGACTCCAGATAGACTCCACTGTTAGACTGCTGATACAACATAGTAGCATGAACAACTTGAGCAATTAAAACGTGATAAGTGAAAACATATAGTATAAAATGATTATTAAAGTATTAAATGCAAACTCATATGTGCTGATAGATTGCAGATGGTATTTCATGCTTGACGACATATATTTTACTTTGTTGTTGCTTTCGTGGAAAGGGGCGGTGGGGTAGCCTAGTGGTTACAGCGTTCGCTTGTCATGGCGAAAACCCGGGGTCGATTCCCCACATGGGTAGAATGTGTGAAGCCCATTTCTGGTGTCCCCCGACGTGATATTGCTGGAATATTGCTAAAAGAGGGGTAAAACTAAATTCACTCACTTTCGTGGAAAGTACCCTTGTCATCTGTGTTTTAAGAACTACTTCCACTCAGCGGCGTGAAACTATACTCACTCACTAACTCACATTCTTGGAAAGTACCCTTGTCTGTGTTTTAAGAAATATTTCCACTTACAGACGCGTGTTGTTATTGCTCAATATTGAATCACCGCCTCCACCTGACCTAATGCAAGTGTGACGTGCACCGATAAGGCAAACATAGTTACGGAAATACTCACCATTCATTATAGGGAATATTTTTCACCAAGAATAAAGAACCACGGCGTCCTTCGATTGATCAAGTTAAAACCAGTATATTACATTGAAATATTATTAAACATGCATCGAAAACCATTTTTGTGGCGAAATAAATGCCATGATTAGCGTTATAACGGGGAGGCAGGTGGGCAGGTTGCCGTATTTGTTAATGGCTGGGCTTCGTCAAGTGATAAGCATATGACCCATATTATCGGTTGCTGTGATGTCATCTAAAATGACACAGCCGAATTTGTCTTTGATAAAGGGTAACACAAACAGCCAGGCCGCAATTGACTGTGAAGATCGGGGAAGTAAACGTCCACTCAACTCTAGCAGTCAAGGTTTGTACCCTATTTCAACCATAACGTGCCTTTGTTAGACGATGGTTCTACATAGGCGTTTGAACATCCTTTAAACAACAATGTCATTATTTCCAGTTTACTTTAGTTAACGTTTGTTTATTCTGCTGTGCCTCGATTGAATTCTGAGTCCTTCTCAGGTCGAGTGATTTAGTGAGTTTAGTTGTACGCCGCTTTTAGCAATATTCCAGTCATATCACGGCGGACGAGCGAACGTTTTAACCACTAGACTACCCAATCGCCCCTCTCACGTCGAAGGCCCGGGTTCTATTAACCTGATGGGTACAATGTGTGAAGCCCATTTCACGTGTCCCCGCCGTGGTATTGCTGATTTTATAGCTAAAGCGGCGTAAAACTATATACTTACTCACTTACTTGACCTACGCTTTCTCTTTGAAAATGAACTCTTTCACTTGAATATTACCACTACAATATACAAATGTACTTCAGGACTATCCCCTGTTTATATCTCATAAATTATAGTTGCCTCGCTTGAGCCCTTCGGGAGTCTATCTTCGTGAGTTCGAATCCCATTTCACCCCTTTCATATTTCTTGGTTTATCAGGAGTTTACTCGTTGTCTCGGGTTGCAACTAAATTGTTATCAAAGACCTTTGTCACATTAGGCTGAGACGCAGTGCCTGGAATACTGCTTACTGCAACGATAAATCACTCGTAACCCAATGGGGTAAGCACATTTTACATATGTATATGGGTTTTATAACTGTTGCCTTCTTTTATTTTTCAGATGGACTTTAATAGCAACATAACCGCACAGATCGTCTTCAACTGCTTGTTTGCAATAGGAATCATCGTCGGCAATCTGGTAATGATTGGCATTATTTTGTCAAACAAGGAACTCAGACAAAATTCCAAGTATGTCATTGTCTTGTTCTTGGCACTGGCAGATCTATTCGTCGGAACCTTTCCCCTCCCGATGTGGACACACCTGCTGGTGACACAGGAACTCGACGTGTCGTGTTTAACTATGACGGCACTGTACGGAAGCAGTTTAATTACTGTTGCCAACAGCTGCTTCGCAGTCATCGCCCTGAACGTGGACTTTATACTGCAATGTACAGTCTCATCCTACCAAGGAATGTGCAAGAAATTGGTCACATGCATGCTCGTCGCATTCTTTATTCTTGGACCCATCATCGTTCTGGTGCCAATAATGATCGTTGGGCAGTCTCCCAGTGCGTATACGTGCGCTTTGTATATGATACCAAAATTCGGAAGAGCACTTGTTGCAATGTCCTACTGGGTACCATCCGCAATAGCCATCATCACGACAGTGGTTAGTATTGCCCTACATCAAAAGAGAAGACGCCTGGCGTTCGGTCAGTATGGTCAACGGGCAGTATCCCAACCCTCTACCAATCCCGCTGCACCCGTGGATATCATCTTGGTTTCCTTTCTGACGGTTGCTCTCTTCTTCCCAAGCAAAGTTATGGCTTTGATAAGTTACGCTTGCTTCAACTGCAGCTGGTATCTCATACTCTCAACTGTCATGAGCTACCTTAGTTACGCTAAATCTGTTATCGTCCCATTCCTCTGGTTTCTGAACAAAGATTTCCGGTCAATAGTGAAAGGTCGGGTACGTTCCAACACCAACAATCAACAGACTTTTAACCAGCCTCCTCACTACTACACACACCAGCAGTATGTGGAAAATCCTGGAGCACTTTCTGCTGCTTATCCGAACAACTCTTTCAGTCCCGTGGTTACTGGGAATGGTGAGCCAATGAAACAGTAAAGATTTGCGTGTCCTCCTTAGGGCCATGTGACACTGTTTATGGCCGCAACTGGCATCAGTGCTGTTATATAATCTGGACCAGGTATACCAGTGATTGTTCAATGAGCATCGTTCAAAGGATAGGATAGCATCAGGATAGGACGTTACGTTACGAACCATGTTAGCGAGCCTAAACACGGATCATGTGACTGTTCTGATATGCCTTGGCTTCTGGGTACGCTTACTTACCTAGAATATAGACTGTAAAGTGACAACACCATTGTGTCAATCACAGTGTTACAAGCATGGTTTGTTTCGGGTAATCAGTAGGAAACCAAGCAGTGATGACTGACGTATAAACACTATATATGTCAGTCACAGTGTTACAAGCATGGCTTAGTGCAGGTAATCAGGTGGAAACCAAGCAGTGATGACTGATGTATAAACACGGTATATGGACAATTGATAACTTGTTTTCTTGACATTTAAAATAAATGTGTTTGTATACGATTCAAGTAAAAGGGTAATTGATCTTTAAAGGTGTTCATATGGTGATTTTAGTCTAGGAAGGAACATGTGACGGTTTATGTTGTTGTTTCTTAACGCCGCACTCAGAAATATACCTGCTATATGACTGCAAATAATCAGGAGCAGACAATCAGGTGATTGACATCTACGCATCGATGTACACAACCGTGATACGATGACATGCCAAGTCAACCAAGTCAGCGAGACTGATCCCGTGAGTAGACTCTTCCGACAAGCATGGATTGCTAAAGGCCAGTTCTAATTGCAGTGGTATTTGATCTAATAGGACAAACCGGTTATGGAAACACCTTTGATACAAACCTTTGTAACCCGCTTAATCGACAGTATATAATTCATGCACTCAGCAAATTTGTCGGGACTGTTCACTTTTTGGTTTTGTTTGTAGCTGGTGAATGGGTGTCAATGTCAATATATTTTTTGTATTTAAGGCCTCCTGAATGAGAAATGGATACATAGGCTATATCTATGTGGGGGACTTTAACCATGTCTAGCGAACAATATATTTACTTAACTTCCCGTACTAGACTACCCAACCACTTTAAAAACTTTAATTACAAGCCTACTCCCGCCACTATCCCGCCACTTTCAACACTATACTTCTCGTCGACCCCAACTGGAACACTGTAGTTACCAGGCAACCCAAGCTACCCGACTCGAACCAAACCCTACCCCTACTTACAATAAATGATTGTTATAATAGTAAAACAAGGCTTTTCCTTGCGGCTTGATGACAAATGGTAAAACGAGGTGAGTGAGTGAGTGAGTGAGTGAGTGAGTGAGTGAGTGAGTGCGTCGTGCGTGCGTGCGTGCGTGCGTCCGTCCGTCCGTCCGTCCGTACATACATACATACATGTGTGTGTGTGTGTGTGTGCGCGCGTGCGCGCGCGTGTCTGTGTGTGACTATATGAGTGTGTTATAGTCACATACTGACATAATTATATACCACTGATATGTCGGAAGAGTTCCCAACATTTCAACATTTCACACTCATCCCTACCCCTCACCTCACAGTTACTTAGTGTATGAACGTAAAGATTTTCACGGTCATGAATACATTAAAGTACTGCTGGAAATAGAAAAAAAATGTCTTTTCTCATCTATCTCTACAATTTATGTAGTTGATATGTGCAAGTGTGAAATATCTGTTAAACTAAGTTCGGCCTAACTATAGTCTCAGTGGTAGGGACATCAGAAACGAAGAAAGAGGACTTTACTGAGGAGAGATTAGTGCAGAAATGAGCAATGCGGTTGTTTTCAAAGTCCAAAACGATTTATTTGGAACAGACCATGGCTTTATGCAAATTAGTGTGCACATGCATTTCATGCCAGGTGAGTCGACGGTCAGTCGTCATACCTGGCTGAGCGACCTAACTGCCATCTATAGTCTGATCTATTGTTTTCAGCAGCTATTCGTATTTTTTTCTAAGTTTTGCCCGATTTTACGAGTAAACATGCTTGTAAACATGATATCCTAATACGCATCCCACTGAATGCCAGGTTTGGCCGAAGTGGGGTATTTCGACATATGCTATTTGCAGTTGTGTAAATGTTAGGGATACAGAGTAACAGCCTAAAAACAGGTTTTTTTTCTATTTCCGACAGTACTTTAGTCAGTATTTAAAAGGTGTCCTTTGCAGCTAACGTGTGCAAATAACACTGTGGGTATCGGTTGTTCATTGCAGTTCGAGTAGTATTCTAACCGGCCGATCACGACTTTCGATAAGTCCACCTAACCCCTATTGTGATCAGCTGATATCATCGGCCATGACGAATGGGAATGTGGCCTTGTAATCACCACACCAGTGTGTATTGTGAGTAGTTGTAAAATGAAATGGTTTCTATTAAAGAAAATATATAAATCCTAAACCCCGTGCCTTGTGTCGAATCTTCACTTCGTCGATCTGTCCTTGGAGGTACGTCATGGGTTATTTATGTTTACCACCAGCAGTGGTAACCAGTCATCGCAATTCTAACACACGAAACCTAGTGGTCACACCGCGAATGTCCTTAACATACACAATGTATTTGTTTGTTGTGTCCAAGACTGGACAGTATTCCAGCGGAAGAGGAAGAAGTTACATGGAGTGGCAGCATTTCTGTACAGTGATGGTGATCTCTAAATATTGGAGTCTGGACCAGACAACCCAGTGATTGATAGTATGAGTAAAATCAGGAAATGTCGATGTACAATTACAGTCACTGAACCTGCCAAACTTGGTGTCATTGTACAAGCCAACCTCAGTGCTATGTCCTAAGACTATAAATCTATGTTACGGTATGTTAAGATTGCTTAGTAAAACGGCACTTAGATCTATAGGCATAGGCCGATACGGGCCATCGTCGGCATTTAAACTGACATTCACTTGTATACTGCAGTATTCCGTTAATAGTGATACATGTTCAGATTACAATATTATTATGTTGGATTCATTTGTATACTGCAGTACCCCGTTAATAGTGATACAACTTCAGATCACAATATTATTATGTTGGATTCATTTGTATGCTGCAGTACCCCGTTAATAGTGATACAACTTCAGATTACAATATTATTGTGTTGGATTCATTTGTCTACTGCAGTACCCCGTTAATAGTGATACAACTTCAGATTACAATAATATTATGTTGGATTCATTTGTATACTGCAGTATCCCCTTAATAGTGATACACCTTCAGATTACAATAATATTATGTTGAATTCATTTGTATACTGTAGTATCCCGTTAATAGTGATACAACTTCAGATTACAATATTATTATGTTGGATTCATTTGTAATCTGCAGTACCCCGTTAATAGTGATACAACTTCAGATCACAATAATATTATGTTGGATTCATTTGTATACTGCAGTACCCCGGTAATAGTGATACAACGTCAGATTACAATATTATTATGTTGGATTCATTTGTAATCTGCAGTACCCCGTTAATAGTGATACAACTTCAGATCACAATAGTATTATGTTGGATTCATTTGTATACTGCAGTACCCCGTTAATAGTGATACAACTTCAGATTACAATATTATTGTGTTGGATTCATTTGTATACTTCAGTATCCCGTTAATGGTGATACAACTTCAGATTACAATAATATTATGTTGGATTTATTTGTATACTTCAGTATCCCGTTAATAGTGATACACCTTCAGATTACAATAATATTATGTTGGATTCATTTGTATACTGCAGTACCCCGTTAATAGTGATACAACTTCAGATTACAATATTATTGTGTTGAATTCATTTGTATACTGCAGTATCCCATTAATAGTGATACACCTTCAGATTACAATAATATTATGTTGGATTCATTTGTATACTGCAGTATCCCGTTAATAGTGATACACCTTCAGATTACAATATTATTGTGTTGAATTCATTTGTATACTGCAGTATCCCATTAATAGTGATACACCTTCAGATTACAATAATATTATGTTGAATTCATTTGTATACTGCAGTATCCCGTTAATAGTGATTCACTTTCAGATTACAATATTATTATGCTGGATTCATTTGTATACTGCAATATCACGTTAATAGTGATATACTTTCAGGTCACAATAATATTATGTTGGATTCATTTGTATACTGCAGTTTCCCGTTAATAGTGATACACCTTAAGATAACGATATTATTATGCTGGATTCATTTGAGTGCTTCAGTATCCCGTTAATAGTGTTACGCCTTCAAATTACATTATTATTATGTTGGATTCATTTGTATGCGGCAGTATCCCGTTAATAGTGATACACCTTCAGTTTACAATATGTTCATGTTGGATTCATTTGTATACTGCAGTATCTGTCACAACACGAGATGAATACGGCAAAGGCAGAAATTTCATTTATTACAAAAATTATATATATATAATTGAAAACAAAACCATTTCCCCCCAAATCACCCTTCATTCATACTGCATTTATCACCAACCATAATCATAGCACACAATCACTCCTATACATACACTCTACACAGGAAAACCCCAAAACCGAATAGAACAATACATTTGTCTAATACAACTATTTTACATTGTACAGAGCATACACCACGTGCATCAAACACGGAATTGGACTGAATGTTCACTGATGATAAAGTTCAATCATAGTTGTAGCTCTTGTCACATTGCATAAGTTCGTGACGTCTCTCTCACGGTCAGCCATCCTGACGATGTTTTCGCTGGTCAGTCAAATGAGGAGGCAACACAGACGCCACCTTTAACAGGTCGAGGCCATCATACCGATCCACCTCTTACACATAAGGCGAGGTAACAACACAGATACTGCCCTTTATACGTTCCGACACAGGTCCCCGGGCACTATACAATATCAAAATAACATTTGATATACTTATCATTCAATGTACACCGAGTTTTACGAACTCAGAATGATTCAACGTACTAAGACCATTACATACTCAGAATGATATTATACTTTACAGGATGAATATCACAGCATTACATTTCGCTTAGAACAACTTTTACCTTATTCCACATACAGGCAAGTGAATATGCTGATACATCATCTAATTACAACATTGTTTCGCAATGTAACACATATGACTGATAGCAAATAATTTACTTGCAACTCAATCGTGAGAACTGACATTTTAGTATATTTATTGCTACAACATTTGATGATTGACAAAATGATATCATCATTTAACAAATACCCATATTTACAAAACTCTACAATAATAATTACGAAGCAACATGATAAACATAAATATCCAATAAAACAAATTCTACTCACGCCATGAAATCAGACCAGCCCCCTTGCAAATACGGTTGTATCCCTTAACCCCTACATGCCACTACCCCTACAGCCCAGAACCCCCTACAATTAGTTAAAACAACACACGGCTTTTACCTGTCTGGCATAATGAACTGACCCAAAGAGAGATTAGTGCATAGAGTATACAGATGAGATCAAGGAAGGGATTAAACTGTTCTTTAGTGTTTTGTGTCAAGGAAATTTGGGATTAGCTAAAAGTTGTTTTAGTTTCATGATGAAAGATAAACCTTTAGTGAGTAGAACAATTTTACAAATTGGATAATGTGTAGGTTGTTAAATGTTGAAATTAAGTTGTTTTAGTGCCATGATAAAAGATACACAGTATTATTGAGAAGTGGAGGGAAATGAGAAGGTGAGACGAGAAACTTAGAGACTGAATTTCCAACTGCTGTCCTGAAGGGTTGTTTCTTCCATTTCTGTCAAGCCATTTGGAGGAAGGTTCAGGATCTTGGACTGGCTGTTGCCTACAAAGAAAACCCCGAAGTCACCAGGTGGATCAGGAGAGCAGCTGGGCTACCTCTACTCCCTCAAGACACGGTCCAGGACACGTGGGTAGAAGCCATGGACGACACTCCAGACGTCCCAAGAGCAGTCGACTTCAACGATTACATCGTGACAACCTTTGGTGCTGCGACAAGAAGCAGAAAGCGAGTCTTCAGGGAGATTGAAAATCGCCTGTGTAGACTCAAGGAGCAGCTTGAGCTTGGACAGAAATCACCTCTTCAGTTCTTGGACGCCGTCGGCTATCTGCTTAAGCTGGGATAGATTGAAACATTGAATGTTCATAGACTGAAACACTTGACACAAATGACTATGTTAACATTGAATGTTAACAATTAATTGTTAATGTCCATCAAAGAATCATGATGACGAATTATTGTTAATTCTTATTAAAATCTTGATGATGACAAATGATGATCACTTTTCATTAAAATCATTCTCTCAACCTTTTAGTTGTGTGTTGTTATGTCTCTTAAGTGGATTAGTCCATTGCGTGGAATAGGTAACAGGCAGTGGATTAACAGTGCAACAGACCGTAAACTATGTTGTTATAAGCTGTAGGGGTAGTGGCATGTAGGGGTAATGGGGGGTTACCGCAAATACAGCCATCCTCATCAGACAACTTTCATGACTGCACTCACCAACCCTTGCACTCTGCCTAATATATTCAAAACTCACACCTTGTATGCTTTTCTTGCCACACTAGCCTCTACATGCCACCTTGCATGCTTTCTACCCATTCCCACACCCTGACACTCACCTACTACAGTCCAACCACACTGTAACACATGTCATACAGTTAAACCAAATTACCATGTGATCTTGACAGCATCCCGTTAATAGTGATACCCCTTCAGATTACAATATTTTCATGTTGGATTCATTTGTATACTTCAGTATCCCGTTAATAGCGATACATCTTCAGATTACAATATTTTCATGTTGGATTCATTTGTATACTGCAGTATCCCGTTAATAGTGATACACTTTCAGATACAATATTTTCATGTTGGATTCATTTGTATACTGCAGTATCCCGTTAAAAGTGATCATTTATTACCCACGTGGTCAACGTATAACATTTTATTACCCACGTATTCAACGTATGGGTAGGTGCATACTAATCTCGTACGTCACACGAGTGTCGTATCGCGTTGACCTGTGTCGTAACGACTTGACCTGAGATTCTAACGATTTGATTGGATAACCGATGACCTCTCAATTAGGTCACGTTGTGACGAAACTACTTTTTCATTCATAACAAACACGTGAATTCATTCATTCTACAACTTATATATGCATTGTGGGAATGTAAACATTGCGAACGTTGCCGTGTCGCTGTTTAATTGTGAGTCGAACTGAGGCATTATATGCGTCGAAAAACATAAACGTAATGTTTCCACCAGTGATGTTAGCCGAATGAAGCAACTGCAAACTAAGAGACGGGGTGCTACGGAGTAGTTTAATGTAGGAGGCTGTGCGAGGCGATGACAACTGACATGCATCGTGACGTCGGTTACCAAGGGGACAGACGAGCAAGGCGTAGTGACGTCATTACAGTGTGACGTCATGCAAAAAGTGTACTACAGAACAACATTCTTCCGCAACCTCTTTATGAAACCGGTTTCGGTTTGAAACCATAAAAATAACAAAAATGCGCTATTTTGTCAATTTAAAGCATGTAAGACGTGGGTAATAAATAAAATACCACACTCGGTCTCATAACATACGAATTATACGAAACTCGTGACCTTCCTATGGTTTCTGACCTCGCTTTCGCTCGGTCAGATACCATAGGAAGGACACTCTATTCGTATAATTCGATTATGTAATGATGACCCCCTACAAGTGAATAACAGTATTCTCTGCCTCGATGTTTGTTTATGTTCGGGCTCAGGGAACATAAAGAAACATCGAGGGTACATCAGCCCATGTCCGCCTCGAGACCAGTGAACACCTCAATGGTAATTTTGAACTGTTTGAAGCACCTATATCGGATCATAGTATGGAGAACAAAACCACAAGAAAAACAAAAACAAATTTAGAGTTGTCAAATTTAGAAAGTTATCAAATGTAACACATGTTATATTTGGGATTACACTTTCTCAGTAATGTACAGATACTAGTCATTTTCTTGGGTTGAGTCTCATTCGGGATTTGAACCCACACCCTCAGAATCAGGTGCCTAATCCTCAGCATACAAAGTCAGCCATCTAACCCGCTCAGCCACCATCGATTTGTGGAAGCTGCGGTGGCTGAGCGGGTTAGACGGCTGACTAAAAGGAGGCGATCAGGTGCCTGACTGTGTGGGCGTACTCTGTTTGCTTCAATATTCACACTACAGATTCAAATATTCTGCAATCTTTACAGTCTGTGAAGGTGATCCTTAAAAAAATGCCACTGGCGAGGCTGTTGCAGTGGCAGTTCTGGCAAGAAGATGCCGAACAGAACCAATATGGAAATGACAAGTGCTGCAAAGATAACTGGCAAGGTCATCCATGGATAGGGACGACTCCAGGTTGGTTGGTTGGTTGGTTGGTTGGTTGGTTGGTAGGTTGGTTGTTTAACGTCGCACTCAGCAATTTTCCAGCTTTATGGCGGCGGTCTGTAAATAATCGAGTCTGGGCCAGACAATCCAGTGATCAGCATTATAAGCATCGATCTACGCAGTTGGGATGCTATGACATGTGTCAACGAGCCTCACCAGCCAATCCCGTTAGTCACCTCTTACGACAAGCAACGACTCCAGATGGACTCCACTGTTAGACTGCTGATACAACATAGTAGCATGAACAACTTGAGCAATTAAAACGTGTTGAGTGAAAACATAATATATATAATGATATACTTAGTAAAGTAATTAATGCAAACTAACCTGTGATGATCCATTGCAGGTAGTATTTTATGCTTTATCTTACTTTGTTGTTGCTTTGGGCGGTGGGGTAGCCTTATGGTTACATCGTTCGCTCGTCTGGCCGAAGACCCGGGTTCGCTTCCCACATGGGTACAATGTGAAACGCCCATTTCTGGTGTTCCCCGACGTGATATTGCTGGAATATTGCTAAAAGCGGCGTGAAACTATACTCACTCACTAACTCACATTCTTGGAAAGTACCCTTGTCTGTGTTTTAAGAAATATTTCCACTTACAGACGCGTGTTGTTATTGTTCAATATTGAATGACCGCCGCTCCACCTGACCTAATGCAAGTGTGACGTGCACCGATAAGGCTAACATAGTTACGGAAATACTCACCATTCATTATAGGGAATATTTTTCACCAAGAATAAAGAACCACAGCGTCCTTCGATTGATCAAGTTCAAAACAGTATATTACATTGAAATATTATTAAACATTCATCGAAAACCATTTTACAGGTTTTGTGGCGAAATAAATGCCATGATTAGCGTTATAACGGGGAGGCAGGTGGGCAGGTTGGTGTATTTGTTTAATGGCTGGACTACGTCAAGTGATAAGCGTATGACCCATGTTATCGGCTGCTGTGATATTATCTATCATGTGACACGAAATGAGGTAAATGTCTAAAAACAGCCGAATTTGTCTTTGATAAAGGGTAACACAAACAGCCAGGCCGCAATTGACTGTGAAGATCGGGGAAGTAAACGTCCACTCAACTCTAGCAGTCAAGGTTTGTACCCTATTTCAACCATAACGTGCCTTTGTTAGACGATGGTTCTACATAGGCGTTTGAAAATCCTTTGAACAACAATGTCATTATTTCCAGTTTACTTTGGTTAACGTTTGTTCATTCTGGTGTGCCTCGGTTGAATTCTGAGTCCTTCTCAGGTCGAGTGATTGAGTGAGTTCAATTTTACGCCACTTTTAGCAATATTCCAGCCATATCACGGCGGCGGACGAGCGAACGTTTTAACCACTAGACTACCCCACCGCCCCTCTCACGTCGAAGACCCGGGTTCTATTAACCTCATGGGTACAATGTGTGAAGCCCATTTCACGTGTCCCCGCCGTGGTATTGCTGATTTTATAGCTAAAGCGGCGTAAAACTATATACTTACTCACTTACTTGACCTACGCTTTCTCTTAGAGAATGTACTCTTTCACTTGAACTATACCACTTAGATATACAAATGTACTTCAGGACTATCCCCTGTTTATATCTCATAAATTATAGTTGCCTCGCTTGAGCCCTTCAGGAGTCTATTTTCGTGGGTTCGAATCCCATTTCACCCCTTTTATATTTCTTGGTTTATCAGGAGTTTACTCGTGGTCTCGGGTTGCAACTGAATTGTTATCAAAGACCTCTGTCACATATGGCTTCTCCCTCACATTAGGCTGAGACGAAGTGCCTGGAATACTGCTTACTGCAACGATAAATCACTCGTAACCCAATGGGGTAAGCAAATTTTACATATGTATATGGGTTTTATAACTGTTGCCTTCTTTTATTTTTCAGATGGACTTTAATGGCAACGTAACCGCACAGATCGTCTTTAACTGCTTGTTTGCAATAGGAATCATTGTCGGCAATCTGGTAGTAATTGGCATTATTTTGTCAAACAAGGAACTCAGACAAAATTCCAAGTATGTCATTGTCTTGTTCTTGGCACTGGCAGACCTATTCGTCGGAACCTTTCCCCTCCCGATGTGGACACACCTGCTGGTGACACAGGAACCTGACGTGTCGTGTTTAACTATGACGGCACTGTTCGGAAGCAGTTACATTACTGTTGCCAACAGCTGCTTCGCAGTCATCGCCCTGAACGTGGACTTTATACTGCAATGTACAGTCTCATCCTACCAAGGAATGTGCAAGAAATTGGTCACATGCATGCTCGTCGCATTCTTTATTCTTGGACCCATCATCGTTCTGGTGCCAATAATGATCGTTGGGCAGTCTCCCAGTGCGTTAACGTGCGCTTTGTATATGATACCAAAATTCGGAAGAGCACTTTTTGCAATGGCCTACTGGGTACCATCCGCAATCGCCATCATCACGACAGTGGTTAGTATTGCCCTACATCAAAAGAGAAGACGCCTGGCGTTCGGTCAGTATGGTCAACGGGCAGTATCCCAACCCTCTACCAATCCCGCTGCACCCGTGGATATCATCTTGGTTTCCTTCCTGACGGTTGCTCTCCTTTTCCCAAGCGAAGTTATGGCTTTGATAAGTTACGCTTGCTTCAGCTGCAGCTGGTATTTCATACTCTCAAATGTCATGGGCTACCTTAGTTACGCTAAATCTGTTATCGTCCCATTCCTCTGGTTTCTGAACAAAGATTTCCGGTCAATAGTGAAAGGTCAGGTACGTTCCAACACCAACAATCAACAGACTTTTAACCAGCCTCCTCCCTACTACACACATCAGCCGTATGTGGAAAATCCTGGAGCAATTTCTGCTGCTTATCCGAACAACTCTTTCAGTCCCGTGGTTACTGGGAATGGTGAGCCAATGAAACAGTAAGGATTTGCGTGTCCTCCCTTGGGCCATGTGATACTGTTTATGGCCGCAACTGGCATCAGTGCTGTTATATAATCTGGACCAGGCATACCAGTGATTGTGCAATGAGCATCGTTCAAAGGATAGGATAGCATCAGGATAGGACGTTACGTTACGAACCATGTTAGCGAGCCTAAACACGGATCATTTGACTGTTCTGATATGCCTTGGCTGCTGGGTACGCTTACTTACCTAGAATATAGACTGTAAAGTGACAACACCATTGTGTCAATCACAGTGTTACAAGCATGGTTTGTTTCGGGTAATCAGTAGGAAACCAAGCAGTGATGACTGACGTATAAACACTGAATATGGACAATTGATAGCTTGTCTTGTTGACATTTAAAATGAATGTGTTTGTATACGATTCAAGTAAAAGGGTAATTGATCTTTAAAGGTGTTCATATGGTGATTTTAGTCTAGGAAGGAACATGTTGTTGTTTCTTAACGCCGCACTCAGAAATATACCAGCTATATGACTGTAATTAATCAGGAGCAGACAATCAAGTGATTGACATCTACGCATCGATCTACACAACTGTGATACGATGGCATGCCAAGTCAACCAAGTCAGCGAGACTGATCCCGTTAGTAGACTCTTACGACAAGCATGGATTGCTAAAGGCCAGTTCTAAGTGCAGTGGTGTTTAATCTAATAGGACAAACCGGTTATGGAAAAAACCTTTGATACAAACTTTTGTAACCCGTTAAATCGACAGTATAATTCATGCACTCAGCAAATTTTGTCGGGACTATTCACTTGTTGTTTTTGTTTGTAGATGGTGAATGAGTGAGGAATGGATACACAGACTATATCTATGTGGGGGACTTTAACCATGTCTAGCGAACAATATATTTACTTGACTTCCCGTACTAGACTACCCAACCACTTCAAAAACTATCCCGCCACTTTCAACACTATACTTCCCGTCAACTCCAACTGGAACACTGTAGTTCCCAGGCAACCCAACCTACCCGACTCGAACCAAACCCTACCCCTAATAACAATAAATGATTGTTATAATAGTAAAAAAAGGCTTTTCCTTGCGGCTTGATGACAAATGGTAAAACGAGGTGTGTGTGTGTGTGTGTGTGTGTGTGTGTGTGTGAGAGAGAGAGAGAGAGAGAGAGAGAGAGAGAGAGAGAGAGAGAGAGAGAGAGAGAGAGAGAGAGAGAGAGAGAGAGAGTGTTATATGTGTTATAGTCACATACTGACATCATTATATACCAGTGATATGTCGGAAGAGTTCCCAACATTTCAACATTTCACACTCATCCCTATCCCTCACCTCACAGTTACTTAGTGTATGAACGTAAAGATTTTCACGGTCGTGAATACATTAGTCAGTATTTAAAAGGCGTCCTTTGCAGTTAACGTGTGCAAATAACACTGTGGGTATCGGTTGTTCATTGCAGTTCGGGTAGTATTCTAACCGATCACGACTTTCGATAAGTCCACTTAATCCCCATTGTGATCAGCTGATATCATCGGCCATGATGAATGGGAATGTGGCCTTGTAAACACCACACCAGTGTGTATTGTGAGTACGTTGTAAAATGGAATGGTTTCTATTAAAGAAAATATATAAATCCTAAACCCCGTGCCTTGTGTCGATTCTTCACTTATTTATGTTTACAACCTGCAGTGGTAACCAGTCATCGCAATTCTAACACACGAAACCTAGTGGTCACACCGCGAATGTCCTTAGTATATACAATGTATTTGTTTCTTTGTTGTGCCCAAGACTGGGCAGTATTTCAGCTGAAGGGGAAGTTCCATGGCTTGGCAGTATTTCTGCAGTGTGAGGGTGGTCTCTAAATATTGGAGTCTGGACCAGACAAACCAGTGATTAATAACATGAGTAAAATCAGGAAATGTAATCATCCAAGTCACTGAACCTGACAAACTTGGTGTCATTGTACAAACCAACCTCAGTGCTATGTCCTAAGACTATAAGTCTATGTTACGGTATGCTAAGATTGCTTAGTAAAAGGGCACTTAGATCGATAGGCATAGGCCGATACGGACCATCGTGGGCATTTTAACTGACAAACACCCCCACCCCTGCTCGCCCCAACCCCCATGAAGATCCGGGTTAGAATTGGTCTTCAGTAACCCATGCTTGTAGTAAGAGGCGATTGACGGAATCGGGTAGCTCGCTGACTTGGTTGACGCTTGCCATTGTATCCCATTTGCATAGATCGATGCTCATGATGTTGATCACTGGATTGTCTGGTCCAGAATGGATTATCTACAGGTCGCCGCCACGTAGCTGGAATAATCCTGAGTGCGGCGTTAAACAACAGCCAAACCAAACTGCCACGCGTAACCCATGTGATACACACAGATAACACACAAACAGACCCCGGCCTGTATCGCAAGGCTCACACCATGTCTCGGTGACATATTTTAGATAACACAAATACTGCCCTAGTTTATAACAGAACAACGCGGTACGGATATTGTTTCTCTTGTCTTAGTTAGAGCTTAGTCTGTGTAGGAAGCTGAGATTTATCAAACAAGGCGAACCTGTACATGGTGTCACGTTAATAGTGATACACTTTCAGATTACAATATTATTATGTTGGATTCATTTGTATACTACAGTATCCCATTAATAGTGATACATCTTCAGCTTACAATATTATTATGTTGGATTCATTTATATACTACAGTATCCCGTTAATTGTGATACACCTTCAGATTACAATAGTTTCATGTTGGATTCATTTGCATACTGCAAGGTTCTTCAACTACACAGTTTTAAGTGAATTGTCCCATTGTTACTCAACGCTTAATGTATCATAGCATTTGAAGTAAATAGTCCTCATGCTGTAATGTGTAATACTTACATTTAGATTTCGCAAAGTCGATGATAGACTGTTGACAGACTGTTAAATGTCAGTAGGGCACTTGGCAATGAATACCCTGTATCCAGCATTATATGTTGTTTGTTGTGTTTATACCAATCACTTGAAAATGTTGTTTAAGAAACTATCGTGACCTGGTTGACATCTTTAACGGAGGGGTTTCAGCGGTAGGAGGAACAGTGAACACACGCTACAGTTTCACAACGGTACAAGGAATGGCAACATAAGAGGGGGCGGTCGTTTCATGGTTATTTTGGACATACTCTGACTCCTCATGTCACATCTCTCGTCGGAATGGCTTGTGTCACTCCTGATGGACAGAAGTATAGGTGTGGCTGCTGCTTACTGAAGTCCATCACTTTACCAGTATCTTGTCTCCATCTAGGTTGACGTCTTTGGTAACGCAGCCGACTATGCGAAGGGGAACTGGTGCCCACGTTGACTAAAACAAGCCCAAAATATATAGTGGATTCAGATTCAGGTTCATCGCGATTGTGTTTCTCGCTTCGTTATCAGAATACACGTGGTCTTAAGTTAGAATGAGATGATGAAATGATCAGATGATGAGATGGGATATTCAGCAATATTCCAGCTATATGGCGGTGGTCTGTAAATAATCGAGTCTGGACCAGACAAAGCAGTGATCAGCAGCATGAGCATCGATCTACGCAGTTGGGATACGATGACATGTGTCAACCAAGTCAGCGAGTCCGACAATCCGATCCCGTTAGTTGCATCTTACGACAAGCATGGGTTACTGAAGATCAATTCTAACCCGGATCTTCACGGGTCCATTTGTTCATGTGGCGTTGAACACACCACAGCATCGCCTAAAATACAACATTAGCTTACATACTTAAACACAAGCCCAATTGGTGTCACATTTTCACAGACGGATCCTTTGACCACACATTAAAAACTGACTCCCAGACAGCCAATCCATTTTCACGGCAGAACTAATGGGCATAGTAACATCACTCCATGACCAAACAATTCTAACAGGCTCACTTACCTGAACAAAAACCATGCTAAAACAAAACATAAAAGCAAGCAAAAAATACCTACCAAATTACCCCATAGTTCATATACCTTTTATAATGTCTCACACACAAAACTGACATGAATGCGTGACGACTCTGTTGAAATGTGATTTATATGGTTTTAATATAAAAGATCAAATTTGGTAAATGTTAAAATAAATGTGAAAATGCATAACATTATTTCATAGCTTAGTCACCAGCGTTTAATTATGTTCAAAAGCCATTTAATATTTTCACAATCAGTTGATGGGATTTTTCCGAATATTCCAGTTATATGGCGGCGGTCTGTAAATAATCGACTCTGGACCAGACAATAAAATGATTAACTGCATGAGCATCGATCTGCGCAAGATTGGGATACGATGACAAGTGTCACCCTCGGTGACCATATGTATTGTTGCCATTGTCAGCATTAATTCAATTCAATCACTGCACCTGTCCTGCAGTGTCCGTTGCTGCAGCAAATCGGTGACGTAGGTGAAACACCCCGATAAATCGGTCCTGAGCAGGAGTAGTCACTCTTGGCCTTCCACTTCTGGGACGATCTTGGGTCGAATTGAAGCGGGTATATCGATGCCATATAATCGAGATATGGTGCTCTGGTGGACGTTGAAGTGTCTTGCAACGGCAGACTGAGACTGCCCTGCTTCCAAGCTTCCAATGGCGATATTTCGGTCAGTATCATTCAATCTTGGCATTTTTTATCTTCGTTTACGTCGTAAATTTCGTTATGGAATGATGAATTTGGTTTGGCCTTTTAACGCCAATGTCCATACTTATGATGGATTTGCGGGCAATACACTACAACCACGACATGATTAACTCCATTCAAGCAAAGGAATTGTCTAAAGGAACTGTCTTAATGACGATTGCTGTAGAAATATATCGAAATGAACTGCTGCAAACGCCTTTGCGTTTCTTTTTTAAAGAGTGTATATATTCGATCCTAAATTTTCTTTTTGAACTGAATATTCGATTTGCGTACGTATGCTTTGCGTCTCTAGTCTCGTAGGGAGGGCGGGGTAACCTAGTCGTCAGAGCGTTCGCTCATCACGCCGAAAACCCGGGGTCGATTCCCCAGATGGGTAAAATGTGTTTTCTGGTGTCCCCGCCGTGATATTGCTGGATTATTGCTTAAAGCTTCGTAAAAACTAAACATACTCACTCAGTCAATCACTCACTCACTAGTCTTGTAAAAAACCTGCAGCAGTACGATCTTGCATACAGTAGTTTGATTAATACCTCTGTGACAATGGATACATAGTACACAGTAGCTAAGACGGTATGACGCGGGGCGTATCGAACCGAAGATTATTGCTCGGGTCCCCTGGGGTTTGTGCTAATTAAGAAGGCCCGTGTGTCGTTATTGTTCTATTAGTTTCTGTTAAGGCACCTTTAAAAGATAAAGACTGAGTGACTGAGTTTGGTTTTACGCCGCTTTTAGCAATAATCCAGCAACATCACGGCGGGGGACACCAGAAATGGGCTTCACACATTGTACCCATGTGGGGATTCGAACCCGGGTCTTCGGCGTGACGAGCCAACGCTTTAACCTCTAGGCTACCCAACCGCCCCTAAAAGAGAAAGAAGATAAATAACCACGTCGTACAATACCAGAAATGCACATTATCGCAAACAGAGTGACTACATTGTGAGATTATACAGAAATGCACTTTGTTGATAACAGACTGACTATATTGTAAGATTCTACTGTTTATAGTGTTAATGGGCCCACGTAGGACCAGAAATATACATTCCCGCTAACTGACTGTCTAGATTGTGAGATTCTACTGTTTATAGTGTTAACAAGACCCATGTGACATGGTAATTACTTCATAACAAGTTCATTGTCATTGATACTGTTCGGCAGTATCACATGTCGCTCCGTCAGTGTAATTAACACCATATACCTCGTGATGTTGTCAGCATATACTACAAACTAGATCACGGATAAGTGCGTTTCAAGCTAACTGTAAGGATATTCATCGCTTATCCCAGGCTCGTAATAATCAGGTAGCTTACGGGATTCCGTGAAAGTTTCTTGATGAAAGCAAATCACATATTATTTTCTGGTCATTACTTGAAAGGAGTTTACAAAAATATTTGGCTCCAATCTGAATATTAATGCGGAAGCTATTTTTAGCTCAAAATCCAAGATGGCCGTCAAAATTTAAGCGGGAACTGAAAATGTTGCAAAAACACGGAATAAAACAATAGTGTATATATCAAATGCCATATGTATTTGGTTAAGGGGTATATTTCTCATATGCTGAAAGTCACCAGATCTTTTTAGTTTGCTTTTAGTCTAAACTTTACAGCAAAAAGTTACTTTAGCTCTAAAAGATCATGATGATTGACAGTCACAATGGTGAATAAAACCCCTATTTCTGAAAAAAACATAGATTTTATATAGAACTTGTACAATATGAAAAAGAAATATGCTCCTTACCCTGTTTGTTAACGCTAGAAGGGGTATTTCACATGAAAACAGATCCAGAAATAATTATTTTCTCATGATCAAACACGATGTAGTTGCCATAACCTCACTAACAAGTCAAACTGTCTTGGCTTCAAGTATACACAATCAATTTGGTACGTCATTCAATTCTAATGAGATCAATATGAGTTTAACTCAGGTCAAATGACTTGAATCTTAGGTTTGATGTTTCTAATCAATCACTATCAGTGTCAGTGTCTGAATCACTGAACTGAATGGTGAAGACATTTTCATAAGCGTCAGTCCTTGAGCATGTACACATTTCGGTGCATGGGAGTCTGTTTTTGACATACACAGAGTCTGGTGGAACATCTTGCTGCAGTGCAGCCACATTTCACCAGTTGAATGGTCGCTGCAGGAGCTGGAGGAACCGTTGAGGTGACTGGTTTGAAACCGTCCTCAGAGTCCAGCCATACTTCTCTGGGGAAGGAAGTTCAATGTTGGCACAGATGGCGTTATGCCACACATATGCCTGGAAATGTTATCTCAGCATGGCTGGTTTTAGTGCTGCAGAGGTTGGTGGAAGATTTGTGCCTGTGCCCGTTTCTTTGTGAACAACCACCAGCGTGCTTTTGATACGCAATCAAAGTATCCTTGTGGAACATACAACTTACAAACATACTTCTCTAGTGCAGCCAGTGTCTGATCAGGGGGCTAAACTGTGGTACCAAGTTGTGCAAATGCTGATAATGTTCCAGCATTCAAATTCTGCAATGCCCTCCAGCATACTGTTTTCCCTTTCCAGAAAACCTTCCAGTTATGTCTGCCCCAGAGAATGCATGAAATGCAGGTAAAGCAGCTGCCTTGTTTGGCCCCAGTAATCCAACAAGTGGTTCCAGTTTGATGATCCTGTGTTTCTCTTTATTGCCTGTGATGAAACACTGTCCTGGCACAGATCAATATAATGTCTAATTGCCAATACCAAAACATCAGTGTCAGGAGAAAAATATTAAATTGTTCCACCTGCTACTGAAGCTTCATGGGCATGGAGAATTGACTTTGTATCAGCCTCATCTTGCAAGAGGAGGAACATCTCTGTGGCAGGCTTGAGTTTTGTTGCTCCATGCAACAACTAATTCTTTTCCCAAAGTTAGAGGATGGTTGAGTAGTTTTCTTGCAAGATATGCTGTATTCTCATCCATTGTTTGTGTATGAGCCAACATGGTTTGCGTGCTGATCCTACTAATAGATGTACATGTTGTCTGTAATGTGATATGCAATATTCCCACCTTGCCTTCTTTTCCCTGTGGACATTTTCAAGGAGTTTGTATCTGTCAAACACAAGGTAAACTTCATCATGTACTTTTGCCAATGCCTGTGAGGAAACTGGCCTGTCATGTCTGAACATGTCCTTACCCACGTTGGTTTGCCAAGTGATTGTAGATCTGCCATCCTATCAACTATGGTAAGTTGCCTGTTTTCACTTGGATCTTCTGCTGAAACTTCATCACTGTAGATTTTCCAGGATGAACATCAAGTCACTCTTCCATATGGTGTGCAACAGAGTTCCATCAGCCGCAAACAGATATCTAGGAGCCACGGAGAACTCAACTTGACAATTGCCTCCTGAAGATTAACTTTAGGTCTTGATTTTGAGACAATCAGTAGACAGGCAAATAACGCTCTGTCTTCGCGGAGTTCAATTACTGCTTTCTCTGTTTTCACCTGCAGCTGCTTTGCAGAAAATGACCACATTTGTAGCTGTAATTTCTTCATGGGTGCCGACAGATTGAGTAGTTCACTTTTTATTCTCTCAGTGACAAATGATTGAAAACATTCTTCACCCAGCTCTGTCCTCCTCTTGATGCCCATTTGAATATGTGATGGCGTATTAGCTGGAAACGGGCGGCGGGTAGCCTAGTGGTTAAAGTGTTCGCTCGTCACGCCGAAGACCCGGGTTCGATTCCCCACATGGATACAATGTGTGAAGCCCATTTCTGGTGTTCCCCGCCGTGCTATTGCTGGAATAAACTAAATCACTCACCCACTCACTTCAAACTAGCTGCGCAATTATTGTTTACTAGCCTTGCCCTATTGAAAAACGTACTCTCGATGTCTCGATGACTAGCCGATGAAGGTTTGACGACTGATCACTACTTTGAAATGTGGAGCAGTATTTTTAGGATGCTGGGATGCAAGATAATTTTGTCCCATTCCCAGTAAATCCAGTGAAACGTCATATACCGCTGCCACAAAACAAGTTCCACCACCCGCCACTACGGTTTGAGAACGAAGTGACCTCAAGCAGGGTTTTATGCGATTGTTAACTCTAAAAGTGCTGAGGGGCGGTGGGGTAGTCTAGTGGATAAAGCGTTGGCTCGTCACGCCGAAGACCCGGGTTCGTATCCCCACATGGGTACAATGAGTGAAGCCCATTTCTGGTGTCCCCCGCCGTGATGTTGCTGGAATATTGCTAAAAGCGGCGTAAAACCAAACTCAGTCAGTCAGTCTAAAAGTGCTGAAAACTGTAGTACAGTGCTTGCAAGCAATTGGCTGTTTGAAACGCACCCTGGATGTGCATTAACAATTGGCGCGAGTGAGAGAGCATGGTTTCAAGCCGCTTTTATCAATATTCCAGCAATAACACGGCGGAGGACACCAGATATGGGCTTCACACATTTGCCTATGTTGGGAATTGAACCCGGGTCTTCGGCGAGACGAGCGAACGCTTTAACCACTATCCTGCCCAAATTAGCGTATCTGTCAAGTCGACCAAATCTAATGTAGAGAATATCAAGTTTTAACTTTCCTCAAAAATAGATTCCATGCTAACGGGCAAAAGAAACTATACCAAGTCGAAATCAAAACGACAAACAACCATTGTGACAAACGAAAGTGAATTTTAATGACAGATGTATGGGCAACATAATATACATGTTGCCCATACACCTGTTATTGAAACTGACTTTCCTTTTAGTTGTGAAAATAGTATGAATTAACCAATGACGATCAATGATGACACCGGGTGTTTGGTGTCCTGAGCAAATGATCCATAAGTTCTTCTTTCAATACATGCAGCATTAGTCATAACAAGGTAGATGTGTCTTTGTATTCATACAATTTATTCTTTGCATTGCATGCATGGAACTACTATATTGTACAGCATATAGCAGTTAAAGGTTACACATGAACTGATACCTATCACTGAGAAATCGTGACGTGGGGAAAGAGGAAGCTCGTTTGATATCCTATAAATATTGTAAAGCAGTTAAAGGTTACACTTGAGATGATGCATACCACTGAGAAATCGTGACGTGACAATGATCTGCCTTGTCTTAACTATGAGCGAATAATTTACAATTAGACGTCTTATCGGTGTTAGTGCCATTTCAGACAAATAGCAACAAAGGTAATGTCTGGAATTAAGAAACATACATCAATACATCAAAGTTGTGATTAAGAGCAATTTGCCAAGGACACTTTAAAAATAACAATAACATTAAGAATACATATTATTATTATTTTATTTATTATTATAGGATATTTATATAGCGCACATATCCACGCACTAGTGCATGCTCAAGGCGCTGGTATTTTCCCCCTTGGTCATTGGATGTCAATCTCAGTCTCAACGGCACATCGCATTATCAATCTCTTGCAGCCACTAGGCGCACCGAGTTATTGTGGCTTTCTCATCCTAACGAGGTACCCATAGGTAAACAGGAGTGACAAGTCTTTACCGATGATCAATTTCTTTATTGTACGATGGGGACGCTTTGGTAAAGATACTTATCCCGTTTTCATGCTTCAAAACGGTATAAGTATCTATACCGAAACGAAACAATAAAGAAGTTGATCATTCATAAATATCTGCTAATATGACACCGGCAATCAAAGCAAATGCCCCACCTGGCATGGTATTGACTCAGTGGAGCGAGGTCATTATATATCTTAGTGTCTGGAATATATGACGGGACAAATGACACAGTGTCCACCTGCTCCACAGTGGTAGGAAATACAGGTCGACAAATAGGGTAGAATAAGAGTTTGATGGTCGACGGAACTGGCATAGTAAAACGTCAGATTTGATACGTCTTCGACCGCGCTTTTGTTTCTTTACAACAGTTCTTATGCATAGAAAAAAAGCGACAAAATATCATTCTTTTCAAGCATCTACGACAGACCCACTTGCCCTTCTCCCTTCTCAATATGAAATGGTCGACCTTTAAGTCTAGAGAACGGCATATCAGGTGTTTATCTTAGTGTATGTTGCAAACACAAACTTCCTTCAAAACCAGATTTACAACCATATTTACATGTTCCGTTTATACGACATTGACCATTGCCTCCACAGTTTTCACAATTTAGATCACAGTGGTTACTATAGAAACCGTTCTTGCATCCCCCGAGACATTGCCCCGACCATTTCTCACATCCCCTAAAACAGCCCGGGTTACAGGGTTTGGAGCAGTTCCTCCCCGCTTATTCTGAGGGCAGCCTTGAGGACATTCTCTACTCTGGAAGATTTCTTGAAGAGTCAGGCTGCTGCAGCTGGTGCATCTGTTCCGTTGTTCCACATAACCAGTCGCACACTGATCACCTGAAAAATGAATCGCAACAAACCATGTGGACGTTTGAAAACATTTCAAAGTTAACGCTTAAACAACTAGGCTACCCCACCGTCCCGATTAATGAGTGAAGGAAACAGGTCTTCAACTTCGTTGAATCTGCTAACAAACCGAGAACAATAACGAGGAGCGAACCGGGATTCGGACCCAGGACCATAGGTTTCTGGTGTGCCCAAGGGAGGCAAATCTCCTGATACGCCGTATTAGGACATTACGACAACTTCGAGCCCTTCAGTCTATGAGTGAGTGAGTTGAGTTTTACGCCGCATTTAGCAATGTTCCAGCAATATCACGACTGTGGACACCAGAAATGGGCTTCACATATTGTACCCATGTGGGTGAATCGAACCCGGGTCTTCGCTGTGACAAGCAAACACTTAAACCACTAGGCTACCCCACCGCCCCTGACAGCCTGAAGCTGAAGCTTACCATTTGGTTCACATGTCTGGCACGTCTCCCGAACATGCTGGAGCGATTCCTGGCTGGTCACACATTGCTAGGGTGATGTCTATCGCACAGTCAGTAGACTCGTCCTGACAGTCCAGGCCTGTAGCGTGTATAATGACAGGTAAGTCAAACAAAGATCTAAACAATTCAAACTCCGACATTCTATCAGTATGTTACAAGTCAATTTGTTCGCTGTAACATAAAAGTTATAGGAACAAACGTAACCATATAAGCCATCATAATTGCTTTAATATGTTTGAATGCCTCTCACAAAAGTGGTAAAATTTATCCATTAATCTTTGGAAATAATATATAATAATAGATTAATACGTACAAAAATGATATAATAATATAAACATGATATATCTAATATACTATGCGATGAAAACTATATTATTTATGCATTTCACATGCCTCAAAACGATTGATTGGTATAAAGGTCATGTGTCGACAAAATGGTTTGTAACTTATTATTTGTTATTGAAAACGTGAACTAATATACGTCCATTGGTAATAACACAAGCAAGACTCATGAAAATAACTTCCAGTCAGAGTATACATTGAAATGAAGGCGATGGTGAGGTGAAATTGGGTTTAACATCGTGCTTGAGAATATTTCGCTCATATGACGACGTGCATGCATGTGTATGTGTATGTGCGGCTGTTTGTACTAGCCCAAACTTAAGCTGATTTTATAGTGCTAGCCCACTAAGATACCATGCCGCAGTGAAGCATGAATACCCCACTCAGACACATTATACTGACTCCGAGCAGACCAGTCCTTGTTGTACCCATTAATGCCGAGCGCCAGGCAGGGACCAACAAGTACCATATTTTTAACGTCTGTTGGTATGACGCGGTCGGGGATCGAACCCGCGACCTTCCGCTCTCCAGGCGGACGCTCTTACCACTACACCACGGAGGCGGTATACCTTGAGATGAAGGTATAATACTCTAAAAGTCACATGATACGTATATTAATATATATGTATCCTTACCATGTCCTTGGTTGTACAAACTAAACCACGCCAACAGTGAGAGGAAGAACACCTCAGACGCCATGCCTCTAGCTGGGTCTATCTGTCAATATGTGGCTCCTATATCACCGGACGGTCTCCACTTACCATGAACCCTACCTCGCAGTATGATGGATGGAGCGGCCGTTTGGGGGATGTTATGCTATGCTGATTAAAGACACAACCACAAAAAATGTTTTTCAGACGTATATTTTATGTATTATATGAATTGTTAACAGTTCATAATGAATTGTTTAAATCATTGTCACTTTACCGATGTTCATCAAGGCTTTTATGAACCAGTAACATATCAATGGTAATTTAATAAACTTTCAGGCTCCCCTCCCCTCCATAAAAAGGGGGGTAGGCGTCGCACTCCTGCAACCCCAACCCCCACCCGCTGGATCCGCCTATGTATCTTAACAACTTGTAAAATTGTATTGCCCTTATTAGTGTTCAGAGCTGCCTGGCATCTTCGCCCAATGGAACAATGAGATTACGTAGAGACATCACCCTAGCAGTGTTTGTGCCAACTGTTTAAGGTTCTATGGCTATTGCTGACGTATTTACAGACGTTGATGAAGAGCATCCAATAAATCTTAGAGGGGATTTAGATCCGGAGACCCTGACAACCATGGCAGTACTTGGATGTTGTGTTCTTAAAAAGCCGCTCTTGCGGTTTGAGGGTGGACGTTGTTGTGTTGAAAAATGACGTTTGCTTGTTACATAATGGGAAGGACGTGTGATCGAAGAATTTCATCTGTGTAATGTGGGCCCACATCATTACTCTACCACCACCAAACCTGTCCCTTTCCTGAATGTAGTTTAACGCTCCCCGCGACGTCCGTAAACACGACGTCTTCCGTCTGCACGGAGATGTATAAACTGTGATTCGTCACTGCACCAAATACGTCTCCATCGCTGTTGTGGCCGTAATCTGTGTACACACTGACGTCGTTGCCAACGATGCTGATAAGTCAGAATGACGCCTATAACTAGTCGTCTCCGGCGAATGCCTGCGGCGCGTAAACGGTGCATCGCTGTCTGGGCTAGAATCCTGTAGGTGGCCGTGATGAATCTGACAGGAACCTGTCCTGTGTTTGCACAGTTGTGACACGTGGTCGATCAAATCAGGGTACATCACGTGTTGACCTCGTTATCTGATAACGGTTCCATAATCTTGTAATGGTGCTTGGCTTGAAAAAAACCTGGCTTCTGCAGGTGGTCGATGGCGTTGTTGGGTTGAGCTTCTTAAAGTCGTTGTATGTTTACTTTTCACTTGCTGTACAATTTTGACGATAGACAAATGAAAATACATTGTTTTCATAGAGCAACAATTTCTGTTGCATGTTACCTTCGCTTCGGTGTGTTTTTTCCGTCACGTTCCCTGACATTTTCGTTATTTGTAGTCGTACTGAATTCTACCCGCACATATCACTCCCGATGTATGCACTAATTAGAAATTCAATCTCATAATCATTTCGTGTGAATATAAGTAAAACTCCATCAGATAGCTCCAAGGTTTTTTAATTTTGCGTTTCACATGTGTTTTGCAGGGTAGGTTATTTCACACGTTTTTACAAATAAATTATCTTATCTGAAAAATGTTTATGTTTATATAATTCAAAGCGTTTAATATGATACATACACATCAGAATTAATCAAGCACCACCCACTATGTTTATAAATACTGCGTGTTGTTGTATGTGGACTGAAAAGCACAATCCATATTTTACAGAAATCTTCAATTTGATACTTCCGGCCACATGTTCTTTAATTCATCCGATTCAAAAATGGCGACCAACCATGCATATTTTGAACATATTTAGTTGTTTAGTTGATGCATCTTTGCACTTTAAGTCAGCATCCAGGTTGAGAATTGTCAGCACCGCCCGCCATAATTATAAACATTATTCACAGGAAGGTTTTGAGATGTCTGTAAATAAGCGGACATCTTTACCTCTGGCAGCAATAGGCGATCTTTTCAATGCATGTTCCTTTCACTAACCACTAAGCCCGCTGACTGAAACTTTAGGCCATCAGCCGAAGCCAAGAATTGTGGAAAAACGTGCTTCAACATTTTGATGGAAGGAAGGAACATTGTCTGAAAACTAAGCTTAAATGATTGCATGCAGGTTCATTACACTGGAAAGAGGTTATGCCATGATGGTCACAGTTGGCAGAAAGGACCGTCTGAAATTATGCTGTTAGGTAAGGACCACACATTTTTAGTAGAACGTTCGTGTTTTACAACAAGGGTGCACTTGAGTGTATTCTGATATATACTTCTTGTATTCAGTAGAATATTGAAGCACCTTGAGAACATTTATTGAGTCTCGGTCCATGGCTTACTTTAAACTGACAGGTATGTGGTATGCGCAATACGAGCGGAACGTGTTACTATCGAACCTATAGACAGTTACCCAGTACAACCTTCATCTCCATCGGTAACGTTCACGCTGGTGAATAGACAGTACATATTTTTCCTTAATTCTATTATACATCAGGGTTGATCATGACTGCTTATCATGTACATTGAGGGAACATTCATTCTAGGTTGCTTTTTGACGTTTTGCAATTTGTACAAAAGTGCTGCCAGTGGATGTTGAAATATCAGACTTTTATACATGCTTTATATTTTCATTTTATATGCACTTATATACTGCTTCATATCTCTGCCGCATTATCGCCCATTAGACGATAGGCATCCAATTCAGAACGTTGGGTAGGTGGTGCGGTACACGATATGTTCGTCGGTATGCATACTCTTAATTGATACAATAATACAAGTATACTCCACCAAAAAGAAACGCATAGGTCTATTTTCACGAATTTAATCGGCTAACTTCAAAGTGAGATAGCACATGTTATTCTGGATCAGTTGCAGCCAAATTTCACAGTATAAAGATGTCTGTTATCATGTTTAGCTTATAAAAGTTCAATTATTGTGGAATTCTGGCCCATTCCTCTTGCAATACCTGCGACAATTGATCTAACGTCTGTGGCGTTTACGTTGGCCTAGGTCATCCCACAAATGCTCGATGGGGTTTGAAAGGCCATGGAAACACTGTAATGTTCTCATTCTGAAAATACTGAATAGTGGTACGTGTTGTGTAAGGCCTGGCATTATCTTGCTGGAACAACTCCCTCTGGAGGTCAATGATCAGAACCATGTGAATCCTTAAGATTTCGTCTCAGTATCGATTAGCAGTTAAATTGCACTGAAGGCTCCCCACATCATGACGCTTACAGTACCATATCGGTCAATCTGGACGACACAAATCTTGGCAAAACGTTTATGTCCACGTCGATAGACACGCACATTGAAGCAGAAAGTGTGATTCGTCACTGAACCATACACGTTGCCAGTTTTGCAGATTCCAGAATCGAACGTTATTGCATCACCGTCGATGTAGCCGTCGTAGCACAGGGCGAAAAAAGGGTCTTCTGGCTTGATGTCCAGTTTCTCGTAAACGATTACGAATTGTTTGCGCCGTCACTCTCCTTAAACCAGGCACTGCACCTGCAGCTGGAGTTGCAGTTGCTTTGACAGTTCGATTCCGCAAATGAGTGAGTGAGTGAACTTAGTTTTACGCCGCACTCAGCAATATTCCAGCTATATGGCGGCGGTCTGTAAATAATCGAGTCTGGACCAGACAATTTCAGTGATCAACAGCACGAGCATCGATCTGCGCAATTGGGAACCGATGACATACCGAGGATTCATACATGGCATATATGTTGTAGCCGTGTCTCTGACTAGATGATAGATACAAGGAAGGATAACACTGGATGGATGAACAGCTTCTTTATTACAGTGAGAGAAACAGCGTTGTGATGAATGGGTAGTGATGTACAGAATTATAATGGAAACAGCTGATTACGGTACTGATCACAATAACTCAAATGTAAGTATGATGATGTCTGGCTATTTTTGTTATATTTGATCCTCAATCTGGAATTCACAGCTGTTTTATTGTGTGCTGATCTACATACGATAGGGTGTCAATTTCATGCAATCCACCATAATAATTACATTACAAATACCATGGTTGAAGTCGGAAATATCATATTAATCTGTTGATTACGGTAGTAGGATCAACGATCGAGACCCTAATTCCGGCCAATAAGGCGACAATAGTTGGTGCACTTGTGCCCAATGCCTCTGTCAATTGGACAATAAAATATGTTTCAAAACGAAACATGTATTCGTTTTCTTGGCTGAGCAAAACCATCACAAACCGTCCCATTTCAATCGTTCTGATCACAGCGCGTACCCCGCCACCCGGGCTTGCATCCGGAAAGACATGTTCCAACTCTGTTGCAATGTCCGTTCATACAGTTCTCACAATGAAGCTCACAGGCCAGACCATAGAGGCCGTCCCAGCAACTCCCGTGACAGTACCCCGACATTCTGTGACATCGGCGTCCAGAGCAGGCGACGTTACAAAGGTTATCACAGTGTTGCCCCCATCTTTTGGGGTCCTCGCAGGGTGCTGCAATTTAACGAATATATTAACCATGTTTCCTTCATGTTTCCTTTAGTTTTATGTTTTCTTTTTAAACATAGCAAATGCCGCCCCCATCTGTGAGATGAGGTGAAATGGGGTTTAACGTCGTACTTAAGAATATTTCGCTCATATGACGACGTGCATGCGTGTGTATGTATGGCCGCTTGTGCTACCCAGACTGAAGCTGGTTTTATAGTGCTAGCTCACTGAGATACCATGCCGCAGTGAAGCATGAATACCCCACTCAGACACAGTATACTGACTCCGAGTCGACCAGTCCCGAGTCTTGGGAGTGACGAACGGACGCTTTAAACACTAGGCTACCCCACCGCCAGAGATAACTGCTATGGTTATATCAATCCTCCTTGCATACATTATAGCTGAAGCCCGGTCTTTCTCCATACTTTGTAGGTATTAAGTCCTTTTTCTTCACAATGTATGAAATAGGATGTGATTGATATTATGGACATCGCACAAAATCGACGTTCACTGACAACTTATCAACCACGTCACCCAGCCTTACAACCCGATCCAAGTCACCTCTCACGACAAGCACTAGGGACCAATTCTAGCCCCAGATGCCGCCAATATTTCCGTTGACGCTCAAGCTTGAGTACCCCAGCTGCATATACTCACCCACAGGATCCACACAGGCTGCACACGTGTGTCTACACGCTGGGGTGATGCCTGGGTGATCACACAGCGTCCTAGTCACGTACTGGCGACATTCTTGTGGGTACTGGTCCCGGCAGCTGTCCACGGGATGACCTATAGGAAGTCAATACTGACTAGTAACTACATCCCTGTCTCAAGCCGTACATGCTAATGTGCAGTTACTTCTAATATGACTGTCTGACCAAAGCGGTACTGTATAATGTGCAGCGTTACTTCTCATGACTGTATGACAAAACCGTACATTATAATGTGTAGTGTTATTTCTTATGACTGTATGACAAAACCGTACATTATAATGTGCAGCGTTACTTCTCATGACTGTATGACAAAACCGTACATTACAATGATTATAATGTGTAGTGTTATGTTTTATGTCTATATGATAAAACCGTACAGTATACTGTGCAGTGTTATTTCTTATGTCTGTATGATGAAACCGTACAGTATACTGTGCAGTGTTATTTCTTATGTCTGTATGGTAAAACCGTACAGTATACTGTGCAGTGTTATTTCTTATGTCTGTATGATAAAACCGTACAGTAAACTGTGCAGTGTTATTTCTTATGACTGTATGACCAAAACCGTACAGTATACTGTGCAGTGTTATTTCTTATGTCTGTATGATAAAACCGTACAGTATACTGTGCAGTGTTATTTCTTATGTCTGTATGATAAAACCGTACAGTATACTGTGCAGTGTTATTTCTTATGACTGTATGACCAAAACCGTACAGTATACTGTGCAGTGTTATTTCTTATGCCTGTATGATAAAACTGTACATTATAATGTGCAGTGTTACTTCTTATGTCTGTATGATAAAACCGTACAGTATACTGTGCAGTGTTATTTCTTATGACTGTATGACCAAAACCGTACAGTATACTGTGCAGTGTTACTTCTTATGCCTGTATGATAAAACTGTACATTATAATGTGCAGTGTTACTTCTTACGACTGTATGACCAAAACCGTACAGTATATATTATAATGTGCAGCGTTGCTTCTGGGGAGTATACGTCGCAAGCATTAATTATTTATAATGAACTTATGAACAAGAAACATTACCTGTTCCTCTGTCAAGCAACAAGGACTCTAGCAGGAACAAAAACCACAAGGGGATGCACAATTCCATAACGAGTCTAATATCCCAAGGTCCGGCCACAAGAGGAGGTTGCGCCACCACAAACTGCCCTGTAGTTGTAACTTGTTGCTGGCATATCGGCAGAATGACATGGTGATAAGACGCATGCAGCCAGTGAAACATAAGATGCGACAAGCGCACATGATGGAAACCCTAACCAAGGTCTGCCATAATTATGGCATGACATACGCCTTGCCAGTTGGTTTGATGGGCTCTCATATGGTCTGATGGACTCTCATGTGATCTGATGTACACGCATATGGTCTGATGGACTCTCATGTATGGTCTGATGGACTCTCATGTGGTCTGATGGACTCTCATATGGTCTGATGGATTCTCATATTTTCTGATGGACTCTCATGTATGGTCTGGTGTGCTCCCATGTATGGTCTGATGTACTCTCATGTATGGTCCGATGTACTCTCATGTATAGTCTGGTATACCCTCATGTATGGTCGGATATACTCTCATATGGTCTGATGTACTTTCATGTGATCTGATGTATTCTCATGAATGGTCTGATGTACCCTCATGTATGGTCCGATGTACTCTCATGTATGGTCTGATGTACGCTCATATGGTCTGATGTACTCTCATGTATGGTCTGATGTACTCTCATGTGGTCTGATGTACTCTCATGTGGTCCGATGAACTCTCATATGGTCTGATGTACTCTCATGTATGGTCTGATATACTCTCATATGGTGCGATGTACTCTCATGTATGGTCTGATGTACTCTCATGTATGGTCTGATGTACTCTCATGTATGGTCTGATGTACTCTCATGTATCGTCCGATGTACTCTCATGTATGGTCTGATGTACTCTCATGTATGGTCCGATGTACTCTCATATGGTCTGATGTACTCTCATGTATGATCTGATGTACTCTCATGTATGGTCTGATGCACTCTCATGTATGGTCTGATGTACTCTCATATGGTCTGATGTACTTTCATGTATGGTCTGATGTACTCTCATATGGTCTGACGTACTCTCATGTATGGTCTGATGTACTGTCATGTATCGTCCGATGTACTCTCACATGGTCTGATGTACTCTCATGTATGGTATGATGTACTCTCATATGGTCCGATGAACTCTCATATGGTCTGATGCACTCTCATGTGTGGTCTGATGTACTCTCACATGGTCTGATGTACTCTCATGTATGGTCCGATGTACTCTCATATGATCTGATGTACTCTCATGTATGGTCCGATGTACTGTCATGTATCGTCCGATGTACTCTCATGTATGGTTTGATGTACTCTCATATGGTCTGGTGTATTCTCATGTATGGTCTAATTAAAAAAATTGAAGGGGGTGACAAGCATTATTGGCATCAGTATATATAGCTGCGGTCTGTAAATAATCGAGTCTGGACCAGATGATGCAGTGTTCAACAGCTTGAACATCGATCTACGCAACCGGGATACGATGACGTGTGTCAACCAAGTTAGCGAGCCTGACCACCCGATCCCGTTAGTCGCCTCTAACGACAAGCATCGGTTGCTGAAGACCAATTTTAACCCGGATCCTCACGGGTCGGCACGTGTAAGCAAATCAAACAATCTGCCTTTCTTATTGCGTGACAGATAAACCAGACATGCAAAATGAAAGAATAAGGTATTCTTTAACTACTTTGTATATTTCTCATCTTTCATTAACACTTTAATATATATAAACAGACATTAGCCTGTAACAATGATTAGTTAATCCGATAATCCGATCCTGTATTCTTTCCTGAATCATTTCACAAGGAACTGGACATTCCGGCGTAAACGTTCGGGACATTCCGTGTTTAACGTTCGTATAAAATGCCGTGATATTGCAGGAATATGCTGAAAGCGGCACATACAGATACATTGCACCCATATGGGATTCGAACCTGGGGCTTCGGCGTGACATGCGAACGCTTTAACCACGAAGCTACCCCACCACCCCTTCATTAGTTGAAGGGATACAGAAGTTTAATCTCTCTGATCACATTGAATCCCCCTCCATTTGTGTCTGCATCCTTGACGACAAGTTCCATTCTTGAAGCACCCTCCTCCATCACAGTTCTCACAATGGAGGTCACAAGCCGCGCCGTAGTGGCCGACCATACACTCCCCAAGACAGTGACCCGATATTCTATCACATCGTCGTTCCCTACAGGCAGTGGAACAAGCGTCACCACAGTGCCACCCCCATCGCTCTGGATCATCGCATGGCTCTGCAGGTACAGAGAATGAGAAAGCGGGTGAGTGATTTTGGTTTTACACAGCTTTTAGGAAAATTCCATCAATATTATGGCGGGGCACCAGAAATGGGCTTCATACATTGTAGTATGTGGGGAATCGAACCCAGGCCTACCCCCTCCTCCAATCTGCGGGTATAACAAGGATGCGTGCATATGACGTAACAGAATGAAGCTTACGTATCTGACAAACCAAATATATTTATATGTCCCTATCATATGATCTGATGTACTCTCATGTATGGTCGGATGTGCTCTCATATGATCTGATGTACTCTCATATGGTCGGATGTACTCTCATGTATGGTCGGATGTGCTCTCATATGATCTGATGTCTTCTCATATGATCTGATGTACTCTCATATGGTCGGATGTACTCTCATGTATTGTCCGATGTACTCTCATGTATGGTCTGATGTACTCTCATGTATCGTCCGATGTACTCTCATGTATGGTCGGATGTACTCTCATATGATCTGATGTACTCTCATGTATTGTCCGATGTACTCTCATGTATGGTCCGATGTACTCTCATGTATGGTCTGATGTACTCTCATGTATGGTCTGATGTACTCTCATGTATCGTCCGATGTACTCTCATGTATGGTCGGATGTACTCTCATATGATCTGATGTACTCTCATGTATGGTCGGATGTACTCTCATATGATCTGATGTACTCTCATGTATGGTCTGATGTACTCTCATGTTTCGTCCGATGTACTCTCATGTATGGTCTGATGTACTCTCATATGATCTGATGTACTCTCATGTATTGTCTGATGTGCTCTCATGTATCGTCCGATGTACTCTCATGTATGGTCTGATGTACTCTCATATGATCTGATGTACTCTCATGTATTGTCTGATGTGCTCTCATGTATCGTCCGATGTACTCTCATATGGTCTGGTGTATTCTCATGTATGGTCTAATTAAAAAAATTGAAGGGGGTGACAACCATTATTGGCATGAGTATATATAGCGGCGGTCTGTAAATAATCGAGTCTGAACCAGATAATGCAGTGTTCAACAGCTTGAACATCGATCTACGCAACCGGGATACGATGACGTGTGTCAACCAAGTCAGCGAGCCTGACCACCCGATGCCGTTAGTCGACAAGCATCGGTTGCTGAAGACCAATTTTAACCCGGATTCTCACGGGTCGGCACGTGTAAGCAAATCAAACAATCTGCCTTTCTTATTGCGTGACAGATAAACCAGACATGTAAAATAAAAGAATAAGGTATTCTTTAACTAGTTTGCGTTGCATATTTCTCATCTTTCATTAACACTTTAATATATATAAACAGACATTAGCCTGTAACAATGATTAGTTAATCCGATAATCCGATCCTGTATTCTTTCCTGAATCATTTTACAAGGAACTGGACATTCCGGCGTAAACGTTCGGGACATTCCGTGTTTAACGTTCGTATAAAATGCCGTGATATTGCAGGAATATGCTGAAAGCGGCACATACAGATACATTGCACCCATATGGGATTCGAACCTGGGGCTTCGGCGTGACATGCGAACGCTTTAACCACAAAGCTACCCCACCACCCCTTCATTAGTTGAAGGGATACAGAAGTTTAATCTCTCTGATCACATTGAAGCCCCCTCCATTTGTGTCTGCATCCTTGACGACAAGTTCCATTCTTGAAGCACCCTCCTTCATCACAGTTCTCACAACGGAGGTCACAGGCCGCGCCGTAGTGGCCGACCATACACTCCCCAAGACAGTGACCCGATTTTCTATCACATCGTCGTTCCCTACAGGCAGTGGAACAAGCTTCACCACAGTGCCACCCCCATCGCTCTGGATCATCGCATGGCTCTGCAGGTACAGAGAATGAGAAAGCGGGTGAGTGAGTTTGGTTTTACACAGCTTTTAGGAAAATTCCATCAATATTATGGCGGGGCACCAGAAATGGGCTTCATACATTGTAGTATGTGAGGAATCGAACCCAGGCCTACCCCTCCTCCTATCTGCAGGTATAGCAAGGATGCGTGCATATGACGTAACGGAATGAAGCTTACGTATCCGACAAACCAAATATATCTACTAGTATATGTCCCTATCACTATGGGATTCAATGTGTGCAGTCCATTTCTGGTGTACACACACACACACACACACACACACACACACACACACACACACACACACACACACACACACACACACACACACACACACACAGACAGACATACACATAGCGACACACGCACGCACGCACGCACGCACACACACACGCTTAGCTACTAAGCGTGCGACAGATACAAACACATGTGTATTCTTCGGCGTGACGAGCGAACGCTTTAACCACAAGGCTACCCTACCTGCATGTGTGTCTTCACAAGCTCCACAGGTCTTCTTACAAGCCTCGCTTATACCCGGAGCATCACAGTTGACAAAACCCTCTTGGCAGAAGGAATAGTCGTCTTTACAAGGTGTTTCTAAAGGAAAGAGAATGGAAAGTCAGTGGAATGTCGATCACAAGTGAGTACTAGTGTATGCGTGAAATACACAATTTAACGAACCACGTTGATACAAAGTTGTATCATGTTGAAAATCAATGCATAAAAGATACAGTTTAATACGCAGGAAATTGGAAATATTGGTGGCTGGTACATTCCGTTCTCTCTCGCTGTGTATCAATACTTACTGTTGCACACTAAAACTGGTCGAGTCCAGATTCCGCTCTCCTGACAGGTGCTCGTTCCACTCCCGACCCCACTGTAACCACTCACGCATCTGTACGTAGCTCGGTCTCCGTAGTGTGTACGTCCTCCACTGACTACCATGTTGGTGATAGGAGTTGGTTGTCCACAGTCAATCTCTGAAGGTTTAAAGAAAAACAGCGCAACCATTGACTACCTTACTTTAGGAGGTGGTTGTCCACAATAAAATTTCGGAAAGGGCGAAAGACAAACAGCCCAAATCTCGAGTCTTATACTTCAGTTGATTCCGTTCTCTCTCGCTGTGTATCAATACTTACTGTTGCAGACTAACATTGGTCGAGTCCAGATTCCGCTCTCCTGACAGGTGCTCGTTCCACTCCCGACCCCACTGTTACCACTCACGCATCTGTACGTAGCTCGGTCTCCGTAGTAGGTACGTCCTCCACTGACTACCATGTTAGTGATAGGAGCTGGTTGTCCACAGTCAATCTCTGACGATTTAAAGAAAAACAGCGCAACCATTGACTACCTTACTTATAGTACTTATAGGAGTTGGTTGTCAAAAGAGAGTATCTGAAGATTTAAAGACAAACAGCGCCACAATTAACTGCCTTGCTTTAGGAGTTGTTTGTCCACAGTCAATCTCTGAATATTTAAAGACAAACAGCGCAGCCATTGACTCCCTTACTTGTAGTAGTTGGTTGTCCAAAGAGAGTCTCTGAAGATTTAAAGAAAAAACAGCGCCACCATTAACGACCTTACTTTAGGAGGTGGTTGTCCACATTAAACTTTCGGGAAGGGCGAAAGACAAACAGCCCAAATCTCGAGTCTTATACTTCAGTTGGTTCCGTTCTCTCTTGCTGTGTATAAATACTTACTGTTGCAGACTAACATTGGTCGAGTCCAGATTCCGCTCTCCTGACAGGTGCTCGTTCCACTCCCGACCCCACTGTAACCACTCACACATCTGTACGTAGCTCGGTCTCCGTAGTGTGTACGTCCTCCACTGACTACCATGGTGGTGATAGGAGCTGGTTGTCCACAGTCAATCTCTGAAGATTTAAAGAGAAACAGCGCCAACACTGACTACCTTGTTAGGTATATAAGTTGGTTGTCCATAGTCAATAGTTTATGTAGGTTTAGGGGTTAACTCGGCACTCATATCAAATAAAATAAAAGGAAAAGCGGGTATTTGTATACTCTGTGCAAACATAGGTGTGTTTTTTTAGTTTCGGCGATTGTTTCCATCCTAATGACGTTAAATAATACACTTTCCACCCAAATATGTTAACGTATTTCAGTAATAATATATAAACTACCGGGCAAAAGAAAGTTACCATTGAATTCACTTGACCAAAACATAGACAAAGACGTATGTGAGATTTATGATAAATATTTTACAAACTGTCCTTGCATTTTCTTGCTGCAAAATGACTCCTTTTGGCTGCTGTCGTAAAAAGGTCTCAACATCTCATCCTTGTATCGCTTGGGGGAATTCAGATGATATCCAGTTGTGTTGTTCTCTGGCCATACTTTGACGCCTCCTCCATCGAACGGGTGAACTTCTTGAATGGATGAACTTCTCTTCGTCAAAAGGCTCTGCCATCGTTTCTGAACCGGCTGAATCGACTTTCATCTGTAAAGAGTACTCTCTCCCAGTCACGTAGCTGCCACCGACGTACGGTTCGTGCCCATTGCAGTCTACGTTGAAGGTGTAGACGGGTCAAGGCCATTCCACGGAATGGCCAGTAGGCTCGTATACCAGCCATCCCAAGTCGTGGAAGGACTGTAGTCCGCTGATATCGCCGTCACAGATCTGCCAGATGGAGCAGTCTTTGGTGGTGTCATGACTCTTGGACTTCCCAATCTTGGGCGGTATTGGGTATGTCCATTTTGCAGGTAGCGGTTTATCAATTTGCTGATGGGGGTCTGATTGCCAGTTGAAGGTTCTTTGCCAGCTGAGGCTGTGAAGCCCCCATACTGGCCATACCGACCGCCTCTAGTTGCGCTTGCATACGTCTTGGCATATTCGTGGTGGTTTTTTGGTTACTGCATGCTTTCTCTGTTCAACATCGGTGTTTATGCCACAGTCCGTACTCGCGCATTTGGACCTATGTCCCGCAATCTTGTTATTCACGTTTTGAAAATTACACGATTCTTACGTAGTTTTCGGATGTTGCGTTTTGGCGAATATGTTCTGGTTGGGTTCAACCTGTATCAGCGTGTTTGTTTTTTATACAGTTGCTTTAAAGTGATAACTTTCTTTTGCCCGGTAGTTTAATATTAGGTCAATAGTATAAGGCTTTACAATTGTTGAAACGTTCCATTTAGAAAACAAGTTTCAATCATCACCACAAAACCCCATGAATTCGTGCTGAGTTGTTGCTGTGTGTTGGTAGACTATGTCTTGCAAAGAAAATATCAGAAATGGCCAAAACTCCTAAGTACATCCTTAAGCGCCTTGATTCCTTACGTTTGTAATGTTTTGGTCAAAACTTATTTTCACTTGACAGAAAAGTTAATCCCTCTGTGGAGGCTCAACCATCAACTTACTGCTCAAACAGATCGGTCTAGCCCACCCGGCGGAGCAGGTGTATATGCATCTACCGTCCCTGTAACACCGGCCAAATCCTCCACAGTTCCAACAACGCTGTTCGCAGCGGTCCCCATAGAAACGATCGACACAACCTAGTTTACACTTCCCCGTAGACGCCTCGCACCAAGTCCCAACGCATCTTGAGCTGCATCGTCGACGGCAGTCCTTGCCCCAGCGTCCAAAAGGGCAGTTCCCTGCCAGTGACGAAGTAATGCTTAGAGGTTACACCAAATCAAAATATTTTCCAACTGATTTCTATAGTAACATGATACTTCATAGGCGGATCCAGAGGGGGGATGCGGGGATGCGCACCCGCCGTTTTGTCCTGAAAGTTTATTAAATGACCCTTGAAAACGGGTGAAAATGAAGTGTGCACAACCTCCACCCCCACCACCCTTCCCTTTCTCAAAAAGCTGTATCCGCCTCTGTCCTTTCAAAATAATATAACTAAGCTTTCAACAGCTATTACATGTACATGTGTGCATAGTCTGGCCCAAACGAAGCAATAACTATATAAAAATGACCACCTCGACCAGGTCCTTTTTCAAGTGCAGAAAGCTAAACAGACCAACCCCAGTTCCGCACAAAATGCCGACCGCCTGAAAATACCTGTGGTCACATTCAGCGTAAATATTTCAGCTTAACCATCATGTAAAAAAAAATCAGCACTAAATATTAAAAAGATTTTTAAAATATGGCTACTTTTCATTACTGGATGAATGTATACTTAAAAGCACAAATATTTTACACAAAATTACCCAATCACAGCTGTCAGATGATTCGGTCTGCACTGAAGGCTCCCTAAGGAAAGTGTTTGTTAAACTATGGATTCTGATTTGGTGTAATAGAACCTAGAGCACGTTAGCTTTAACACACGCATGTACACATAAACTGACGTACAAAAGAAAGTACCCAGCTGATGCTTTTGGATTTTTTTAAAAACAATGTAGATATTTTGTGTGTGTTTTATTTGTGACTTGAAATAAGGGCACCACATATTTGATGCCAAAACACCACGGGCATCGTACCCAGTTGCGATGTAACAGCACCTCTCGTTCCTAGCCCATCCAAGACGATTCAGTCGATGGTAACACATTAACGGCATGCAGATAGACCCGGATGACGACAGTCCAACTGATGAGGTGACTCAAAGCTGTTGATGCTGATGACGTCAATGTGAGCATCCAGTTGAGAATGCGCAGGTGATGGTGTTTTTGCGAGGTGGTCTGTCTCGGTCTTGCAGTTCTGGGACTGTTAGATGTCTGGCCAATCTGGTTGACGCGTCACATTAGTCTGATGATGATCTGCCTTGTGTGCTGTTCGAAGCCCCTTCTGCGACATGCCAATGGCTAATTCTCGCTGGTAATCTTTGCATTTTGATGTGCCTTTAACTGGGAGATCACTAAAAATCTGAAGCGACGGTGTTATATACTGCTGGTGCGTATCATGAACGTGTGATTCAACAAAGTGATGATTTTCATTACATCCCAACCTTAAAGGTCACATGCAACGTAAAACACAACTTTGCAGATTCTGATACCTTTCGGTATGGACTTACCGAAACAAATCGTCAAAAATGCAAATTCAACTAATAAAGTTGAAAAATAACGCGATGAAAAAAACGCGGGAAACTGGTTTCAACAGCTGGGCTGCGCTCATAGCACTTGCGCAGTTAAATAGGTTCGCGCAGCTTGGATTGTCCGGTGAATACTCGGTGAAGGCTTTTGTGTGAGCTATTTTTCTAATGTTTTGTTGATATCTCACAGGCGCGAGCTTTTTATATGTTATGACAGTAAATTAACTGTTTATATAATTTCATTTGTCTATTTCAGCACACGTTCTTCTTACCGAGACACTTTCTCAGTTCGATACTTGAAAGCAATGTCATTATTTAGCGTTGACAGAATTTCTAACTGTGATATAGATATGTCGTTGTCACAGACAAAACTCAATGTCTTGTTTTATTGACACCTTTGTGTCTGCCTGCCTGTCTGCTAATGACAATATTCAATACACAGCTGCTATCACTGACCACATGCAATTTGAACTTAACACCAATCAGGCTATACACCATAAACAAAACGCATTGATGTATGGCCCGAGTTCGGTCTCTGTCACATTATGTAATTACACAGACAGGCAGGTGTGATACTTGAACACATGACATGTTATGATGTCTGTTGATTGTAAAATGTTATACACAAAAAATGAGCATGTATTTACAAAACCCAAAATCTCTCTATTTACACACACAATGAGCCGTGGGGGCATCTGCAAATGAACCAGCCGTTACACTTGAGTGCACACCCACCCGCTCTGACTGGGTTCGGTATCCCGGCTGCTTCGTTTCTTGGGAAGTAAACCCAAGTACACAATATTGCACTTTTGATTTGCGATTGTACGCTTATAATTTTGTTCATATGTTTTTTCATAACCAGCAATGTATATTATATGTCATGAATAAGTGATAATTGTGTTTTAATTATTTTTGATTTTTTGGTTGCATGTGACCTTTAACACAGTGAACAATGTCTGTGGTGTTTTGACAACACGTACACAATGTTAGTGACAAGCAAGTCGCAATTAAACACATTTCAAAACATTTACGTTGTATTTTGGAAAATAATATTATAGCACCGGATGTGTACTTTCTTTTTTTGTACGTCAGTTTATATTTGTAATCTTTCCAAACGAGGCGTCTTGTCATCGTATCCCAGCTGCGAACTTTGATGCTCATGCTGTTGATCACTGGGTTATCTTGTTCAGACTTGATGATTTACAGACTGCGTTAAACAACAAACAAAGAAACCAAAAAGAGCCGACTAATGGGTGCATACGCGATTATCTTACCTCACACATAAATGTCGCTTTCTGATTGGCTGAGCGCACTTTTATTATTTTCAATGTACCCCGCTTACAAGCGAGTAACATGTCAATGTACCCCGCTGTCAATGGCAACTCACTTGGTACTTCGTGGTAGTAATTCTTTATCTCGAATTACATTGAATCACGTATATGATCAACGGAAGTTACCGATGTTTTGCGAATGCAAATCGATGGGATGGAGATAACTCTAAATCTGTTTTTCTTGTCAGCAAAATCTAGCGATGGCTACAAAAGATTTTTACCCATGCTTCAAACAATTCAAAATTAACATTAAGGTGTTCGGTAAGATAAATACGTTGTTCACTGGTCCCTCGGGGCCCATGGGTTGATGTTTAGGGAACATAAACAAACATCGAGGGTACATCAAGTTCAACCCATGTCCCCCTCGTGACCAGTGAACAACTTATAATGTTGTTTAACACCGTACTCTGCAGTATGAAAAACGTATCATATATAATCGTGCCAAGGCAAGACAAACCAGAGAAAGGGTGACGCTTCTGCTCGGCTACCGTTTCGATCGGCCCGGAGATTCTGGGGCTGATATATCTGCAGCGTGAGAAATCTAATGAGTTGAGGTGAGGGGAAGTTAGGCTTAAATTCATGTCATATTGTACTTATATAACAAAGTGTCCCACTATGACAAGTTATACTGCCTCTAAACCAGACAATCCCCGCTTTATGCTCTTAACGCCCAAACTCCAGGCAGGGTAACATTAAGTACCATGTTTTAACATCTATTGACATGATGCAGGCGGGGATGCTGGTTCCCGGCTCACGCAACAAGGTTGATTAAATACGCAAGCATAGACAAACGCTCAAAAAACAAATAATAGCATTTAAATTGAAAAAGAGACCCGGAGCCAGGAGATTCCTGGGGAAATTCTCGACTTGCTTCGTTTAGCCCGATTACATGAAGATAGTGCTGTGCACGAGGAGCAAATAGATGGTTCTAGGACTGTCAAACAGATAACTTCAATCAGCAGACACTGTTTATATTGGTTTTAAGTCAGCGTATCTCCTATAGTGGTGAGCGTTGGTTCCATCTTGGCCCTGCTTCCTGTTCATGAAGAGCATGTTTTATACATCAGACAGGATCATTACTGATGTTATCTTGTGTCGGTTCTCGGGAAAACTAGGTGACCTAAGCTCGGAGAGTCACCATTCCAGTTTAGCTAAACACCTGGGCCTAGATTTTCGAAGCTCTCTTAGCGCTACGATAGTCGTAAGTGCCATACATTAACATTAACTTACGACTATCTTAGCGCTAAGAGAGCTTCGAAAATCTAGGCCCTGGGCCCCGTTCTTCAAAGCGACCGCAGGGCTACGACAGTCGTAAGTCTATGTTAAAGTATGGACTGACTGAGTGAGTTTGGTTTTATGCCGCTTTTAGCAATATTCCAGCAACATCACGGCGGGGAACACCAGAAATGGGCTTCACACATTGTACCCTTGTGGGGATTCGAACCCGGGTCTTCGGCGTGACGAGCCAACGCTTTAACCACTAGGCTACCCCACCGCCCCGTTAAAGTATGGAAGTTACGACTGTCGCTTTGAGGAACGGGGCCCTGGTGTTACTAGTGGAAGTATTAATGTTTCTGTGTGTGCTATATACACGTGGTATATACACGTAGCAACAGATGACTAGCGGGCGATGAGTGCATTTGACACGATCTGACTGAATCTCAAGATGTTGAGGATGCACATTCTTTCTTCATCTTTTCCAGACCCGTGGAGATCCGGGTTAGAATTGATCTTCAGTGACCCATGCTTGTCGTAAAAGGTGACAAACGGGATCGGGTGGTCGGGCTCACTGACTTGGTTGACACTTGGTCCAGACCCGCCATGTAGCTGGAATATTACTGAGCTTTAAACAACAAATCAACTAACTGCCTTGATCTTTTCCAACACGCCTGTCGTGCGTGCGTGCGTGCGTGCGTGCGTGCGTGTGTGTCTGTGTTTCTGTGTGTCTGCTTTAGCCTGAGCAGAGTTTATTTAAATAACTACCGTAGTGAGGGTAATTAAACAGCTTACACCACGAGGACATACATGTACTTACATATATGCGTGTAATGTATTAGTCATGATGAAGATGATCAAAAAACAGTACAATTTTATTGTGTTTAAATACAAATAATTGTCTTGGGCAGTTAATCAGCTATGCTAATAAAACACTTCCAAGAACAATGGACATAACCTTCCCTAGTGGTTTAATTGAGCATGTCAGCTTAGTTTTGAGTAAGACCCATTTTGACACAAGATTGTTATCAGGGCCAATTTGGGATCATGGCACGCGTACGTGACTCGAGTCTGAACAGCTAACATCAGCTTTAAAGACTGGGCAAGTGGAATTACACATGAAAGTGAGGTCCACACTCGAACACTAGATGTCTTTGGTCACGTGTTTGGACATATGTAGACCACAATAATTATTAGAGTTGAAACATCTAATTAGCTTGTCCAATCAACCATGAATAAGAAAGCCTGTTTTACTCATGTGTTGCTATTTCTCTTGATAATTCATTCCACACATGACACTTACACCCGGATATTAAATGGACATGGAAAATGCACGTTAAATGAGTATTTGTAATGAAATGTTATCTGTAGGTTCGCGATATTTACATATTCTTTCAAGTAATTGCTGTGGAGATGTCCATGGTTTTCAGTGGAGATCTTCGGGATATGATTGATTATTTGCAAAGGGTTAAGACTTTTACGGAAAATTTCAGGATCCGTGCTTAAAGATGTATTTGGCCCTCTGAGTTATTTTTCTGTGCTTTAATACTAAGTTGGTTGGTTGTTGTTTAACGCCGCACTCGGCTATATTCCAGCTGTATGGAGGCGGTCTGTAAATAATCGAGTCTGGGCCAGACAATCCAGTGATCAACAGCATGAGCATCGATCTACGTAACTGGGATGCGATGACATGTGTCATCAAAGTCATCAAACTTGACCATCCAATCCTGTTAGTCGACTCTTACAAGTATTTGTTGCTGAAGACCAATTCTAACTCGGATCTTCACGGATATAGAGTGAGTGAGTGAATGAGTGGGTTAAACTTTAACGTTGCACCGGCGTTGCATGTTAGTAAATGAGGCAAATAGGTAACATCGATTGTGATACAAGCATATGTATATTAATATAATGTTTTCCTAATAAGTATAAATTTCGTTGTTATACTCTGAACTCTGAAATATTCCAGCTCTGAGACGGCGGTCTGTAAATAAGCAAGTCTGAACCAGACATTCCAGTGATTGAATTCATGCGCATCTATCTACGTACATGGGATCCCGTGGCATGAGTCAACCAAGTCAGAACAATTCCATTCCGTTAGCCATTTTTACGACAACCATGAGCTCTGAAGATTGACTTTCTGATCCGAATCTTCACAGGTTTTTCCAATACACAAACAATTTATCTACCTCCAGTTTTTACTGTTATGAGAAACCTTGAAACCAAACCCAAATTAGAACACAACGGTTTAGAGTTGAATATTCAGACAAAATTCGCAGTGTTTTGATTTTTTTCTTTAACATTAGGCTGAAAAATTACTGATTGTAAGTTGTTGTTTAGGATGTGGAAAGCTTGGAAATCTTCATTTGAAAAGAACAATTTCCATCGTCATTAGTGGGAGAAAGAGATAAATTCTAACTTACCTTCCACTTGGTAGGAAAGGAAGGTCAAGCATAATACCAACGCTGAGAACAAATTAGCAACCATACTGAAAGCATGCGTGCAGCGTCAATGAAGTAGAGCCCACGTCGGAAGGCAATATAAACAAGCATCTCATTTAGAGATTTAAATAGTCGCTGAACATATACTGAAAACCAAAAGAAACGCGAAAACTTAATAAAATGTGTGTGTTTTTTAAAGTGAAACTGAACGTGAATAGGGCTTGTTCATAAGACTTCCTAAACACCGGACATCTGACGCCACGCCTAAAGTATGGGGATCGATCCCCTTCACAAACTGGTTAATCCATGTGTACAAGAGATGTGTTGCCGTCATCAATGCATATGATGGTCACACAAGGTATGTATACAGCACAGCCAGATATCCCCTACAACCACAGAGCAGCCAGTTGCAGCCCTCAACATGACCTCACTATAAGTACTACATCACTGTTGTCAGTTATTTCTACGGAAAACCTTTTCTACCTGAATGTTAAACAGCTGTTGAATTGAAAATAAACAGCATTGTAATTTTATACTGTATTTTTTACACTATCTGAAAATATATTTTGATTAAACATGGTGTAAATAAGTGTACATGTATATAGAATAACCAACGCAAGCGATATAAACGGATATTAGACATTGAAACCGATTAAAGCCTCAGTTTTCGAAATAATCCATATATTTCAGTTTTTGAATGTAATTGTTGAAAATGTCAAAGGGGTACTTAAACTCAACTAATCATGGCATGCAGTGTTAAACGGCTTCTGAAGATATACAGGAAGACAGTTGGTGGCATTTCAATCACGTTGTTCAAGTTGAGCTGGTTAGGTCATTCCAATCCGCCTTTCGTTTTATGAGACATATAGTAGTTGACATTATCTGTGTTGGATACATAGAGAATACTACACGAGGTCTCATTACATACGAATTATGCGAAACGAGTGTCCTTCCTTTGGTATCTGACCGAGCGAAAGCGAGGTCAGATAACATAGGAAGGTCACGAGTTTCGTATAATTCGTATGTAATGAGACCGAGTGTGGTATTTTATTTATTACTCACGTCTTACATACATTTAAATTGACAAAATAGCGTATTTTTGTTATGTTTATGGTTTCAAACCGAAACCGGTTTCATAAAGAGGTTGCGGAAGAGTTTTATACTGTAGTACAATATTTGCATGACGTCACACTGTAATGACGTCACTGCCTTGGCAACCGACGTCACGATGCATGTCAGTTGTCATCGCCTCGTACAGCCTCCTACAGTCAACGAGTCCATTTTTTTGGACTCGAGTACTCGAGGGGTGAGACTCGACTCGGACCCGAGTACTCGAAATTCATACCTTTCAAGCAAACGATCAATTGTCAAGATAGTTACCTAATCATTTTAAGAAGTGAAATCTCAAACGATGTATAATATTAACTCTCATCTGCAGACTTGTAACAACTAATACCATACAGCCACACCGTTTGAGGAGTAAACTATTTAATCTAGGTGTTAATAAAAAAATATCAGATGGATTAAAGAATTCAGGGTACATAAAACTCAGTATGTCAGTGTCAATGGCTATCAATCTTCTTTCTCTCAACCTCTACTGGAGATCCGCATGGCTGTGTTTCTTCATCCGTACTCTTCATTTTGTATACCAATGACTGTTACTTGTCAATATATGACTTGTTTACTGTGAAATTTGCAGATGACGCCACTGTTACTGGCCTAATTTCTGATTCTGAACATTATTATCGTCAAGGCATTGACAAAACCGTAATGACAGTTTTTTATCAAACCTTTATTCAAAGTGTGTTGACCTACAATTTTCTATGTTGTATGGGGATCTGTCTCATCGCAACAAAAACAGACTTTTCAATATTGTTAATACTGCTTGCAAAAGTTCTGGAGTGTATTTCGAGTATAGTCAAAAAGGCAGTTAAAATTAAATTTGACAGTTGACATATTTGATCTCACCATTTTGAACTACTTCCTTCTGGACGCTGCTGTCGATTACCTTCCTTCAAAACAGAGCTCGACAGTCTTTCATACCATCAAGTATTCGTGAATGCAACAAATATTTTGAATCACCATCATGTGATTAGAACTAGAATTATTCAGCCTCTTTACCTATGTGGTTAATTGAATTATCTCATGTCAGTTTTATTTGTAAATAGCATTCGTTTTGAGCATGTAATTATTGTGCATATTTTTGTGAACTGTGTATATATTCATTTTGAGACAGTTTGGATGTATGCGAATTTTCTGCGGGATACTAAAGTTATATCTTTTTCTTAACGGCCGCACATGCTTAACACATGGCAGACAGTCCGTCAACGTCAATAATTCGAGTTATCTCCCCTTTTCGAGTCCTCGAGTCCTTGAAAATGGACTCGAGTCCAGCTAAACCCGACTCGTCCTCGAGTACTCGAGTACCCGTGGAAGCCCTACTCCGTAGCACCCCGTTTCTTGGTTTGCAGTTGCTTCATTCGGCTAACATCACTGGTGGAATCATTGGGTTTATGTTTTTCGACGGATATGATGTCGCAGTTCGACTCACAATTAAACAGCGACACGGCAACGTTCGCAATGTTTACATTCCCACAATGCATTTAAGTTGTAGAATGAATGAATTCACGTGTTTGTATTGAATGAAAAAATAGTTACGTCAGAATGTGACCTAATTGAGAGGTCATCGGTTATCCAATCAAATCGTTAGAATCTCAGGTCAAGTCGTTACGACACATGTCAACGCGATACGACGTACGAGATTAGTATGCAACTACCCATACGTTGACCTCGTGGGTAATAAAATGATTTATTACCCAAGTGGATAACCGATGACCTCTCAGTTAGGTCACATTCTGACGTAACTATTTTTTCATTCATAACAAACACGTGGATCCATTCATTCTACAACTAAATGCATTGTGGGAATGTAAACATCGCGAACTTAGTCGTGTCGCTGTTTAATTGTGAGTCGAACTGAGACATTATACCCGTCGAAAAACGTAAACGCAATGTTTAATGATTTTCGCTTCCTTTAGAGTGCGTTTACACTATCGGTAAACTTGTTTGAGTGGCATTTTAGAAGTTGAGACGTACAATATATAACAAGTTTTATGGATAACAACTTCTTTATTTTCGTGAGTGCGACGTTTCGATACAGATTCTTGTACCGTTGTCAAGCAAGAGTGATACATGAAGTGTAGGAGCTGCATATATATACTGTATATAACAATGAAACAACATAATAGACAAAGGAAACAACATAATTGCCATGATTGGCAGTTGTTATCCATAAAACTTGTTATATACTATCGGTAAAGCTTACGACCAAACCGGATATTGCCTGAGGATATTTTTACACGCTCTGCGCATGCGCACAGCGAGTCTAAAATTAATGTGAAACCAACGAATGGGGAAATTCGTAGGCGATGTGTTAATTTTCCCACTACTGTTTCTCATATTGACAATTGCACAAACCTGTGATCTGGAGATTGGTAGTCAACTATTTTATGGTAAAAACATAGACAACCGGAGCTACCACTGGCCAACAAGAGTTATCCATTGTATATGTGTAACGATTTGGATTAGAGAAGGCCTTCGTATGAAGGCTAGTTATCCAGTTTGCTTACGGTTTAGATAAACCAACAGAGGAGCTCATGGTCAGAGCGTTAGTTATCCAGTCTGTATCATGGTTTAGATAAACCACTGGAGAAGCCATTGTTCAAAAAGGTGGGTCGAGGTGAAATTGGGTTTAACGTCGTGCTTGAGAATATTTCGCTCATATGACGACGTGCATGCGTGTGTATGTGTATGTGTATGTGCGGCTGCTTGTACTAGCCCAGACTTAAGCTGGTTTTATAGTGCTAGCTCACTGAGATACCATGCCGCAGTGAAGCATGAATACCCCACTCAGACACATTATACTGACTCCGAGCCGACCAGTCCTTGTTGTACCCATTAATGCCGAGCGCCAGGCAGGGACCATATTTTAACGTATGGCGCGGCCGGGGATCGAACCCGCGACCTTCCGCTTTCCGGGCGGACGCTCTAACCACTACACCACGGAGGCGGACTGTTCAAGAAGCTACTTATCTAGTCTGTTTATGTTTTATGTGAAAAAAAAAACTGGAGAAGCGCCTGGTCAGAAGGCTAGTTATCCAGTCTGTTTTATGGTTTATAAAACCACCAGAAAAGCTCCTTGTCAGAGCGCTAGCTATCCAGTCTGTTTTATGGTTTAGATAAATCACTGGATAAGCCTCAGTCATCCATCATGTTATCATGTAGATAAACCTCTGCAGAAGCCTTCATTAAAGTAGTGATGTCGTACAACTAATGTAAACAAAGGATAACTACGCAAATGGAAGTTTTTCCTGTTTTGAATACTTTCTCTATGAACGTTAACCAATCTATCATGTTTCTTTTGATGTACAGACTTGTCAAAAAATATACAGATTAAGAAAATACACAATATCTTGTATGAACTGTGTAAGATGCCTTGAATCATCACATGGATCTTGCCTGTGGTAGCGTGACTATGCCAGATGCATGGAACTCTGAGTGGTAGGGTGATACTTTAAGGTTTACTGTCAAGGTAGTAACCATTCATTTCATGGATCAATGCATTTTGTCAAACCTTCCAAACTACTGTACATCATATTTCTGCTATATCCACAAAAAAGTGATAGGTTACAGTGTTGTCCTATCTATGTTCATCAAAGTTTCATCCTCTCTGACTTAATGGTTTGTGGGAGGAAGAATCATAAAATTCTTTAATAGTTTGAACATTTAACAATTCATGAACAGTATATTTTTCTTATTCCTTATTTGGCTGAAATTAACAAATCAAAATGATTTTGTTGCTACACACTACATCAATGTTTAAAAGCCTAAATTAAAAAAATGAAAACTGAAATAAAACATACTACCATAAACAAGTTGGAGACCTAATACAGTGCTTGTCATCCTTCTTAAAATTAAAATGATGATTAAAATAGACAGATGATGAACAGACACACAATCCACCACCCACAACACCATGAGCTCCTTCTGACAAGGTGAGCTAAAAT